AGGGAGAAAATAATTCCTAACTTGAAGAGTTAGGCCGGGATGAAAGATACTGGCTTTAAAGCACTTGGTCTAGAGGCTGACGCATTGTGTAGGATAACGAGATTGTAGTTGTCAGCATCATTGTCTCACCCAATATCCCATCCACATCATCTCCCTCTGTAACGGATTCCATCCGTGTCCCTCTGCCCACCCGTGTTCCCAAACCCTTCCACCACTTGTATGCATTCTAGATCACGGTTTCTTTCACTCTCCAAAGGGACCACTCGCATCTCTTCGTTGGGAAAGTGCCTGGGAGAATCCAAAATGCCTTGGAGGCCGGGCGCGGTGGCTCACGCCTGTAATCCTAGCACTTTGGGAGGCCGAGGCGGGATTGCTGGAGGTCAGGAGTTCGAACCAGCCTGAGGCAAGAGCGAGACCCGTCTCTACTATAAATAAAAAGAAATTAATTGGCCAACTAATATATATAGAAAAATTAGCCGGCATGGTGGCATGCTAAGTCCCAGCTACTCGGAAGGCTGAGGCAGGAGGATCTGCCGTGAGCCCAGGAGTTTGTAGGTTTGCTGTGAGCTAGGCTGACGCCACGGCACTCACTCTAGCCTGGGCAACAGAGTGAGACTCTGTCTCAAAAAAAACAAAAAAACAAAATGCCTTGGAATTCGAGGGAAGCGCCTCAGCCGTGACTGCTGTCTGTGGGATTAAGGCTGCCCTGGCCCTCTGGCCTCCTGCATCTGTGACCTTGTGTCGCCAGCACTTTTCTGCAGGATCGAGTAAAAGATGCCATCTGAGGGGCCTGAATGGCCCACCCTTGTTTGCTCTCTTTTCCTCCAAGCCCTTCTTTCTTACTCCCCCACAATGTCACTTTCACCTGATACTGCCTAAGAGCCTGCTCCTGGCGGAACCGAACCCCAGGAGCCTCCAAAGCAGCAGTTCGATCAGTGCATCTCCGTGGACTCGTGAAAACAGGGCGGGAGCAGCTGTGTGTGGACTCCCGGGACCCCTCAATGGAAGCAGAAAAACAAGCCTTGCCTCTTGTCCTTTCAAACCTCCCCTTTTCCAGCCTACAGTTTCTCTCACCCAGGAATTCACCAGAAATGAGAAGTAAGTTGTTGTAAAACTACCCTCTGCATGTGACCCCATACCAGCTGAACTGGGTCCACCCTGAGATGTCCACATATCCTGGCAAAATTTTACATCACTGCTTACAAATTGCCAAAAATAGATGATAAAGTACTGCACTGTTGGACTCAGACTAATCCATGAGACACAGCGTGGCGTGGGGCATAAATAAGTCAGGGGCACCAGAAAGGAAGCCTGGCCTTGTGTCAAGGTTAGGTGATCAAATCCCCCCCAGTCTCTGCATAGCAGCTAGGTAAAGGTCTCCTTCTGGTGGCTTTCAGGCATAAAAATACAGGCTAGGGACACCATGCCTGTGCTTAAAGCTATTTCATTCTGTTTAGAGTTGTGGTGACATTCAACTACTTGAATTCAGAAAGTACATTTTAAAAATTATAATACTGACCCTCTTATGACAAGAGGGGGGTCTGTTGGCTGTTCTGTGGCGAGTATCTTGCTCTTACTCTGTAAACCTATCTCCTCTGTCCTCAGTCAACTTCATTTCACGCTTGCCTTGCTTTTGGTGTGTCTGGTCATTCTTCAGCCAAGAGCACACCAAGAGGCCGGGCGCGGTGGCTCACGCCTGTCATCCTAGCACTCTGGGAGGCCGAGGTGGGTGGATCGCTCAAAGTCAGGAGTTCGAAACCAGCCTGAGCAACAGCGAGACCCCATCTCTACTAAAAATAGAAAGAAATTAATTGGCCAGCTAAAAATACATAGAAAAACTTAGCTGGGCATGGTGGTGCATGCCTGTGGTCCCAGCTACTCGGGAGGCTGAGGCAGCAGGACTGCTTGAGCCCAGGAGTTTGAGCTTGCTGTGAGCTAGGCTGATGCCACAGCATTCTAGCCCGTGGGCAACAGAGTGAGACTCTGTCTCAAAAAAAAAAAAAAAAAAAAAAAAAAAAGCACACCCAGAACCGAGAACAGAACAGGACAGACAACTACAACTCAACATCAAAGTGGTTCCATGGTGACGTCTGAACCACGAGGTGGCCCCAACCCAGACACTAAAGCAAGACCCCAGACCATGATCAGAGCCCTCTTGTTACGACAGGGGGGTTCGTTCTCCATTCTGTGGCAAATGCTATCTTGGTCTTACTCTGTGAACCTATCTTGTCCTTCCTCAATAAACTTCATTTCACCCTTGCAGAAAAAAAAAAAAAGGAAATATAATATCCACTTGGATGGCTGCAATTTTAAAAAAGGAAATGTGTTGACAAGGATGTGGAGATATTGGAACCCAATATATTACTGGTAGGAATAGGACAGGTATAGCCACAATGGGAAACCATTTGACAGTTCCCCAAAAAGTTAAATATACAGTTACCACATGTGCCAGCAATACTACCCCTGGGTACACTGCACCCAAGAGAATTACAAGCAGGGACTCAGACACTCGTGTCCCAACATGCATAGCAGCAGTGCTTGCGTTAGCCAAAAGGTGTAGACAACTCAAACGCCCATCAGCGGGTGAACAGATAAACAAGATGTGGTATATGCATATAGTGGGATATTCTTCAGCCATGAAAAGAGACGAAGCACTCACACATGCTACAATCTGGATGAACCGTGAAAACATTACGCTAAGTGTAAGAAGCTAGTCGCAGAAGATCACATATTATTAACATATAAACCCACTTAAACAATGTGATTGTCCACCCTAGGCAAAACCACACACACTGGATGCATTGAATGGTTGACAGGGCCTGGTGGGATATTGGGGAATGGGGAGTGACTGGTTAATGGGTACGGAATCTCGTTTGGGGCGATGAGAATGTTCTGGAATTGTATAGTGGTGATGGTTACACAACCTTGTGAATACACTAAATGCCATTGAATTGTACACTTTATAAGGGTTAATTCATGCAATGTGCATTATATACCAATAAAAAAGAAAAAATAGCTGGGTACAGTGATGGCACTTGTTATCCCAGCTACTCCAGAGGGCTAGGCAGGAGGATTGCTTGAGCCCAGAGGTTCAAATCCAGCCTGGGCAACATAGAGAGACCCTGGCTCTAAAAAAACAAAAGGTCAAAAGAAAAAATGATGAAAGATTTCAAAATAAAAAAACCTTCTGTTCTCTTTCACACCGCACTAGATCTCTCACCTAATTTTTTTTTTTTTTTTTTTTTGAGACATAGTCTTACTCTGTTGCCGGGGCTAGAGTGCCGTGGCATCAGCCTAGCTTACAGCAACCTTCAACTCCTGGGCTCAAGCGATCCTCCTGCCTCAGCCTCCCGAGTAGCTGGGACTACAGGCATGTGCCACCATGCCCAGCTAATTTTTTTCTATATATTTTTGGTTGTTTGGCTAATTTCTTTCTATTTTTAGTAGAAATGGGGTCTCACTCTTGCTCAAGCTGGTGTCAAACTCCTGACCTTGAGCAATCCTCCTGCATCAGCCTCCCAGAGTGCTAGGATTAGAGGCATGAGCCACCATACCCGGTTTTTTTTTTTTTTTTTTTTTTTTTTAAGACAGGCCTCTGCCTCCCAGGCTAGAGTGCAGTAGAGAGCACGATTACAGCTCACTACAACCTTAAACTCCTGGGCTCAAACAATCCTCCTGTCTTAGCCTCCCAAAGTGCTGAGGTCACAGTCTGAGCCATTGTGCCCGGCCTCATTACTGACACGTCCATGTTCCTCCACTCTATCAGATTGTATCTCTCTCTTAGAACATTCCTGGCATGGATTGTGTTCATAGTGCTGGAGTAGCAGTCATTTCCCAAGCCTACTAACATGAAATAAAAATGTTTCAAATAGCTATCTTGCAAGAACACGCTGGACAATACCTTTTTAAAAGCTAATTATACCAGCCTAGGCTCTAACAACGTTTAACAATTTTGGCTCTTAGGAGTAGACTGAAGGAAGATTATGAGTTGCTGAAAGGAAGGATGATTAAGCATCTAGAAGCCAATTTATATTGCAGTTGGCCCTTGAGCAACACAGAATGAAATGGCATAAGTCCACTTAGATGCTGATTTTCTTCTGCCTCTGCCACCCCTGGGACAGCAAGACCAACCCCTCCTCTTCCTCCTCCTCCTCCTCCTTTTCCTCCTCTTCCTCCTCAGCCTACTCAACATGAAGATGAAGAGTATGAAGATCTCTATCATGATCCACTTTCACCTAATAAATAGTAAATATGTTTCTCTTCGTTCTGATTTTCTTAATAACGTTTTCTTTTCCCTAGCTCACTTTATTGTAAGAATACAGTATATAATATAAGACATATAGCATAGAAAATATGGGCTAATTGGCTATTTATGTTATCGGTAAGACTTCCAGTCAATAGCAGGCTATTAGGAGTTAAGTTTTGGGGGGAGTCAAAAGTTGTACATGAATTTTCAACTGTGTGGGGGTTCAGTGCCCCTGTCCTCCATGTTGCTCAAGGGTCAACTGTATACGTTTGGCCATTAAACTCTAGGTGAGTTCCTGTTTCCGCCTAATGCCACCCAAAGCTCTGATTTTTATGAGAAGCTCTGAGGACAGAATCTCAGCTGATTATTCATCGACAAGCAACATCAGTGGAAAAGAATTTAACATTCACCTGTTTTTGATCACTCATGTTCCCAAAGTTCCTGTCCTGTAAGTGCCCCGGTGCTCCTGGAGTCCCCGAACCAGTACACAAAAACTCACCCCCCTCACTCCCCAAATTCCACCTTCGTTTTCATTTGTGTACCACGGTGGACGACGTGCCTTGTGCCATTCTACGCACCCGCGTCTTCAGAACCTGAAAGTGCTTAAGAGGCCGTCTCGCCACTGCCCCAGAAAGGCAGTAGCTCCCCGGGAAACACCGAGAAAGGTTCTTCTTATGTGCTTTAAGCAAAGACAATTCCCCATCCCACGAGGCAAATCTACTTGGGAAAGGCATCTCCTTTCTAATTATCTTACCTTTTTTTATTGAGGGACCTCCGAGTTCATCGTGTTTATCTAGAAAACAGGAGACAAGAAAAGGATCACAGTGATTATATGGGAACCTTGAGAACATGAGTCCTCATATCCTACTTGGGGACGGGATGCCCTCTTTGGGAAACAGAAAAGAGAATGTCTTTTCCATTTCCCTGCGCTCCCTGGGTCCTCAGACCAGGCACAGGGCATCAGATCACTCTTTTTCATACTTCTTGAGGCCGAGCATGGTGGCTCACACCTGTAATCCTAGCACTCTGGGAGGCAGAGGCAGGAGGATCACTCAAAGTCAGGAGTTCGAGACCAGCCTGAGCAAGGGTGAGACCCTGTCTCTACTGAAAATAGAAAGAATTAGCTGGACAACTAAAAATATATATAGAAAAAATTAGCCAGGCATGGTGGTGCGTCCCTGCAGTCCCAGCTACTCAGGAGGCTGAGGCAGGAGGATCACTTGAGCCCAGGAATTTGAGGTTGCTGTGAGCTAGGCTGATGCCACGGCACTGTAGCCCAGGCAACAGAGTGAGACTCTGTCTCGAAAAATAAATAAGTAAATAAAAAGAAACTTGTTGAGTTTGATATTATTTTCAATAACAAAAATATTTATGATGACACCACTAAAATGCCCCCCTCCAATTCTATTCCTTAACAGTCTTCCCTATCTCAACAAAGAAAACTGCAATTTGCCCAATTGCGAGGGCTCTGCCCTCCCCTCTCCTGGAGCATGGGGACTGTGAGAGGTATGGCTTCTCACCAACAGGTATGGTAAAGGTGACTGTCATTTCCATAATTACATTACAGTATGTAACACTATTTTGCCAGGGCTCTCCCTGTCCTTCTCTCTCTCCTTGCAAGCTCTGCAGAAGCAATCTGCCTGAATCCCACACATGCAAAGAACCAAATATTGCCAACAACCACAGGGGCGGAGAGGTGGACCCTTCCCCAGTCACTCTCCAGATGAGAACCCAGGCCTGGCTGGCACCTTGGTTGCATCCTTGTGAGACCCAGAACAGCAGACTCAGCTAAGCTGTGCCTGGGCTCATGACCACAGAAACTGTGAGATAACAAATGGGTGTGTAAAGTTGCTAAATTTGTGGTGTTTTGTTATGCAGCCACAGATTCCTAATATAATACCTTTCAGTTATTCTCCATCTATAATGTGTTTTCTAATTAATTTCATGTCTTGTTCTTGTTTCTTTCTTTCAAAAGAGATTGTAAACTCCTGTTGGCCAGAGACCTGGTCTGTCTCAGTTATTAGATACTGTTATATATGTCAGCACATACCAAAGTATCTGCATTTGAAGGGTGAATGAACAGCACTTCTGTCCCAGGTGCTTTAAATTAATTTTCTTTAGTAGCAGAAGCATTCATACTCCCTTTTTGTAATAAATAATGAGTAGTATAATCAAGTGATTTGCAAAGCAGCAAACAGTCTCTATGCGGAAGGCAGACCTGGAAAATGAACCACTAAACATTGATACTACATCTGTCTTTCTATGTAATGGTACAGCTAGGAAAGAAGTGAAGAAATCAGGAAAGAATAGATGATCTGCCAAAGAACATAGTTGAGAAGTGGCAACTTATTACTGGGTTTTTAGGGCTAAAGTGTGGGTGTGACAATTCTTAAGACTGCAAGAAAAAGTTATTGGGGATACAATATGAAATCAATATTGTGCTGATGAGCACATTGTTGAGGGATCATTGATCATGAGCCTTAGAAAGAGAGTAATCAGAGGTGAAATATCATGAAGTGCTCAGTTTCTCACTATGCCCCAAGCCCAGTCTTAGCCATTGAGTGGACATGTTGCTACTTCTACCTGACACTGATGATTGTAAGGTTGCTCCAGGGATTTTCCTTAATACAGCCAGCCTGACCTACTGGAAACAACAGAAACCATCAAAAATATTGTTGAGTGGTTAATGAATGAACAGACAGATGGATGGATGGATGGATGGATGGATGGATGGATGGACAGATAGATGGGTGGATGGGTGGGTGGGTGGGTGGATGCCTGTGTGGATGCATGGTTGGACGGATGGGTGGGTGGATGGGTGGGTTTATGGGTGGATGGATGGGTGTCTGGCTGGATGGGTGGATGGTGGGTGGATGGATGGATGGGTGGGTGGGTGGATCAATGGATGGGCAGATAGATGGATGGATGGGTGGGTGGGTGGATGGATGGGTGGATGAGTGGATGGATGGATGGCTGGGTGGATGGCTGGGTGGATAGGTGGATGGTGGGTAGATGGATGGATGGGTGGGTGGATGGATGGATGGATGGGCAGATAGATGGATGGATGGGTGAGTGGATGGATGGATGGTGGGTAGATGGATGGTGCGTGGATGGATGGATGGGTGGGTGGGTGGATGGATGGATGGATAGTTGGATGGGTGGATAGATGGATGAATGGTGGGTGGATGGTGAGTGGATGGATGGCCATGTGGTGTGGATGGGAGTGGGTGGTAGATGGATGTGATGGGATGGATGCATGGATGGGTGGGTGGATGATGGATGGATGAATGGCTGGACGTGGATGCATGGATGGGTGGGTTGGATGGATGGGATGGATGGATAGGTGGAATGCGGTTATGGATGGATGGAGGGGTAGGTGAGGGGGTGGGTGGATGGGCAGATGGCATGCCATGGAGGATGGGGTGGATAAGGATGGGATGGGTGGCTGGTGCATCGATGGTGGGGAATGAGGATGGTGGGTGGGTGGATAGGATGATGGGCAGATTAGTGTATGGATGGTGGTGGATGTATGGATGGGTTGGTGGATGGATGGATGGGTGGGTGGATGGATAGATGGATAGATGGATAGTTGGATGGGTCGATGGTTGGATGGATGGATGGATGGATGGATGGATAGGAGGATGGGTGCATGGATGAATGAATGGATGGGTGGATGGATGGATGGATGGATAGGTGGGTGAAAGGATGGATGGATGGATGGATGGATGGGTGGATGCATGGATGGGTGGATGGATGGATGGGTGGATAGATGGATAGAGGGATGGATGGATGGATAGGTGGATGGGTGGATGAATGGATAGGTGGATGGATATATGGATGGATGGAGGGGTGGGTGAGGGGGTGGGTGGATGGGCAGATGGATGCATGGAGGGATGGGTGGATGGATGGGTGGGTGGCTGGGTGGATGGTGAGTGGATGGATGAATGGGTGGGTGGGTGGATGGATGCATGGGTGGGTGGATGGATGGATGAATGAGTGGGTGGGTGGATGGATGGGTGGATGGATGCATGGGTGGGTGATGGACTGGATTGGGTTGGGGTATGTGATGGTGGGTGATGGTGGATGAATAGATGGATGGGTGTGTGGGTGGGTGGATGGATGGTGGGTGGATGGATGGATGGGGGGTGGGTGGTGGATGATGGGTGGATGGTGAGTGGATGGATGTGATGGGTCCGGTGGTGGATTGGATGGATGGGTGGTGGGCTGGTGGTGGTGGTGGATGGTTGGATGGGTGGATGGATGGAAAGGTGGATGGGTGGATGAATGGACGGATGGATGGGTGGGTGGATGGATGGATGGATGGATGGGTGGGTGGATGGATGGATGGATGGATGGATGGATGGATGAGTGGATGGGTGGATGATTGGATGGGTGGATGGATGGAAAAGTGGATGGGTGGATGGATGGATGGATGGATGGATGGATGGATGGATGGAAAGGTGGATGGGTGGATGAAAGGATGGGTGGATGGATGGATGGATGGAAAGGTGGATGGGTGGATGGGTGGGTGGATGGGTGGATTGATGGACAGATGGATGGGTGGATGGATGGATGGAAAGGTAGATGGATGGATGGATGGAAAGGTGGATGGGTGGATGAAAGGATAGGTGGATGGGAGATGGATGCATGGATGGATGCGTGGATGGATGGATGATGAATGGGTGGATGGATGGATGGAAAGGTGGATGGGTTAATGAAAGGATAGGTGGATGGGTGGATGAATGGATGGATGGATGCGTGGATGGATGGATGGATGTGTGGATGGATGGGAGGATGGATGGATGGGTGGGTGCATGGATAGATGGAAAGGTGGATGGGTTGATGGGTGGATGGATGGATGGATGGAAAAGTGGATGGGTGGATTAAAGGATATGTGGATGGGTGGATGGATGAATGGAAAGGTGGATGGGTTAATGAAAGGATAGGTGGATGGGTGGATGGATGGATGGATGGATGAGTGGATGGGTGAATGGATGGATGGGTGGATGGGTGGATGGATGGATGAGTGGATGGATGGGTGGATGGATGGATGGATGGATAGCTGGGCGGGTGGATGGATGGATGGATGAGTGCATGGATGGATGGATGGATGTGTGGATGGATGGATGGATGGATGGATGGAAAGGTGGATAGGTGGATGGGTGGATGAATAGATAGGTGGATGGGTGGATGGATGGTAGATCAAAGTGATGCAGAATTATTTCTTATTCCCCTCCTTGTAATCTCAAGTCACTTATGTCACAACCCTCTCTTATGCATCTTCTCTCCACTGTCTTCATTATTTTCCTCTTATTTTCCCAGCCACCTGTAATCTTAGCTCCATATATCATTATTTGCCTTCCCTGCATCTTTCATAGAGTTCTGGTCAGTCTTCCTAGCTCTTCTGCTCTGACATAAAACGGGAGTATTTTTGCATTTATGTTTGAACAGTAACTGTGAAGCCAATTGTCTTTGTGACACTGGGAGGTTCCCCAACCTCCATAAGCAGAAAGGAGTTGGTAACACAACCATCGTCACAGGAAGTAGAGGTCCAATGAGTTAATGGGCTAAGTTACTTGTAATGGAGACTGGAACACAGAAAATGGCATATACGTGTCAAAGGTCAGTGTTGTCACCCTGTCCTCACCTGTCACCCAGATCTCCAGGCTGTTGCTGGGGCGGGAGCCCAAGTGTGGTGAGTTACACTGGTAGTATACACAGCTGTAGTTCCCACTGTCATTGCTGGTCACGTTCCAGGGCATGAAATCAGTTTGGTTTTTTCTTACTTCCTTGACTTGTGACAGCTCTGGGACCCCGTTTTTCAGCAGGGCAATTGCGATACATTCAGTTCCATTGTATGGGATCAGACATTGGAGTGTCCTGTGACCAGGAGTTGTCCCAGGATCTGTGTTGAGTGAGAGGGAAGGTTCCGGGAGTGACCCTAAAGAGGACAAGGCAGTGGAGGTAAAGGGAAGGCCAGGGCTTCCCATTCCCACTGTACCTGGGGACTACCTCACCTGCCTCTCTATCAACCCTGGCTTTTGCTTCCTGTAAATGATGCCCTGGCTTCCTGGGGCCTCGCTGACCTTAGAGGGACTGTCCCTCCAGAGTGGGTTAATTTGTAGAACTAGTAAATGACTTGCCCTCAAGCATGCTTTGCAAATGCAGACCAAACCCACCCAGAACCCTCACTCCCAGCCACCTCCTTCACTGGGCCACCATGTTCCTGCCCGAATCACCCCACGACCAAGTACGAGACAAACTGGGACAGCCTCTGTGCCCAGAGCCAGTCCTAAGCCTGTTACTTCCCACAGAAATGCAATATAAGCTCTTGCCCACGGTCTTCCCTCCCTCTGCCGCCCCATGAGGCCCTCAGAGCGAGGCATGCCCTTCCCTCGGGAACTGGGGCTCGGTGGAGCTCACCTCCGGATCCGTTAGCCGTACTGTACCTCAGATTCCCTATTAATTGGCTGTATTCTAAAACTGCGGTCCCCAACCCCCGGGCCGCGGACCGGTACTGGTCTGTGGCTTGGTAGGAACCCGGCCACGCAGCGAGAGGTGAGCAGCGGGCAAGTGGGCAAAGCTCCCACGCTCCCGACCACCCGAGCCCCGCCCCGCCAGATCAGCCACCACCTGAGCCCCGCCCCGCCAGATCAGCCACCACGCCGAGCCCGCCCCGCCAGGATCAGGCCACCACCGAGCCCCGCCCCGCCAGACAGCCACCCACCTGAGCCCCGCCCCGCCAGGATCAGCCGACCACCGAGCCCCGCCCCGCCAGATCACGCCACCCGGAGCCCCGCTGCTGCCACGATCAGCGACCACTGAGCGCCGCCCGCCAGATCAGCGACCACCCGAGCCCGGCGCCCCGCCAGATCAGCGACCACCCGAGCCCCGCCCCGCCAGACAGCCACCACCCGAGCCTCCGCCCCGCCAGTCAGCCACCACCGTGGCCCGCCCCGCCGATCAGCAGCACCCGAGGGCCCGCGCCTGCCAGGACAGCGAGCCCACCTGAGCCCCGCCCCGCCAGACAGCACCACCCCGAGCCCCGCCGCTGCCAGATCAGCGACACCTGAGGGCCCCGCGCCTGCCGATCAGCGCCACCTGAGCCCCCGCCCGCCAGATCAGCGACCACGCTGAGCCCCGCCCCGCCAGATCAGCGAACCTGTAGCCCCGCCCCGCCAGATGCCCAGCGCGCCCAGGATCACGCCAGCCCACCCGATGCCAGATCAGGCAACCAGCCCCGCGAGATCAGCCACCACCGGGCCCGCCCCCAGATCAGCCACCACCTTTAGCCCCCGCCGCCAGATCACCACCACCTTAGCCCGGGCCCCGCCCAGATCAGCCACCACCTTGCGCGCCCCGCGCAGATCAGCCACCACCCGAGCCCCGCCCCGCCAGATCAGCGACCACCTGAGCCCCGCCCCGCCAGATCAGCGACCACCTGAGCCCCGCCCCGCCAGATCAGCCACCACCCGAGCCCCGCCCCGCCAGATCAGCCACCACCTGAGCCCCGCCCTGCCAGATCAGCCACCACCTGAGCCCCGCCCCGCCAGATGAGCGGCGGCAGGAGACTTTCGCAGGAGCTGGAACCCTGCTGTGCACTGCGCCAGCGAGAGCCCCAGGCTGCGCGCTCCTTAGGAGAACCTAACGCCTGGTGACCCGAGACGGAGCCGAGCGGTGATGCCAGCGCTGGGGAGCCGCTGCAGATGTAATAAGCGTGCTGCGCTTGAATCATCCCGAAAACAACCCCCCACCCGCAGTCTGCGAAAACTGGTCCCTGGTGCGAGAAAGCCCGGGGACGCTGTTCTAAAGCACTCTCCCACCCCCACCTCACGGCCGCTCACGCCCCGCAGGGGATCTCGCCCCACGCTCGGTCCCCTACATTGGAGGCGCTGCGTCTACCGTTCTGCTTCCCGGTGGCTTCTACCCGCGCCAGCTCCCACCGCAGGAGAAGGAAGGTGTGCACCAGAGAGCGAAGCCACGGCCGTCCTCACCGGTGACGACCAGCTGCACGTGCTCGCTGGCCTCTGACCACGCGTCGGAGGCTCGGGTCTTGTAGGCGCAGAAGTACCTCCCGGCGTCCTCAGGCCGCAGGCGGGAGAGGGGGAACGCAGCCCCCCGGCCGGCCGAGCTCTGCTCCCGCGGGTCCCTAGGCTCGTGCGCCTTGCGCAGCTCGAACGTTGCATTCGGGAAGGGAGCCTGGCACGTCAGCGTCACGCTGCTGTCGCGCGCGGCCACCCAGCTGGGCCAGGCGCGGAGGGAGGGTTTGGGAAGTCTCTCTGGAAAGAGTTCAGAGAGTAACGTGAGCCTTTAGCTTGATGACTGTAAAGCCCCTCCTGGAATTCAGAGGATTAAAGGAAGACACAGGAGGTGCAGCAAGAAACAGTGTACGCGGAGAACTCACCATTCTTCTCCTCTTCATGGCCCAGACTCAGCCCTGGAAGAGAAACCTCGGTGAGAGAGAAATCGTGTGCTTGTCTTTGAGTGCAAATCAGGCAGAGAATGCACAACTAATTTGTTAAAAATCTGTCACGTTCCTTGCAGGTGTTTTCTCAGGTTTACCTTTGACCTTTTACTTTTGTCCCAGTGTTTGTCGTTTAGAAGTTATGTGTATATAGAAAATTCCAGTAACATTTTCTGATTTTTTTGAATCGCTTTTATGATGATTCCCTCTTTCACTGTCTACAAATCATCTAACATTGACTTAGGTTTTTTTTTTTTGAGACAGAGTCTCACTCTGTTGCCCGGGCTAGAGTGAGTGCTGTGGAGTCAGCCTAGCTTACAGCAACCTCAAACTCCTGGGCTCAAGCAATCCTCCTGCCTCAGCCTCCCGAGTAGCTGGGACTACAGGCAGGGACTACAGGCATGCGCCACCATGCCTGGCTAATTTTTGTATATATATAGTTTTAGTTGGTCAATTAATTTATTTCTATTTTTAGTAGAGACAGGGTCTTGCTCAGGCTGGTTTCGAACTCCTGATGTCGAGCAATCTGCCTGTCTCGGCCTCCCAGAGTGCTAGGATTACAGGCGTGAGCCACTGCGCCCGGCCTTGACTTAGGTTTTCTTCTCACGTTTGCCATGATTGCAGTTTTTTCCTTTACCATTTGATTAATCCAAAGGTTACTTTACAGTGGAGTGTGTGTGTGTGTGTGTGTGGGGGGGGGTCTCCTTCATTCCAACAGAGAGAATTTGCCCCCCTCCCTTCAAGATATTTTCTGGTTCCAAGCGCTCTCCTCACTTGTGGCTTTGATTTGTACATATGTGAGCCCCTCCCTTTTCTGTGCTCCGGTCTTGGAATTGCCCTCTGGGAAGGGAGCTATAAACCTGTGGGGAAAATGGGGCCTCAGTCACAGAGTTTGTTTCTGGGTGAAGCTAGACTTTTCCTAGGGACACAAGAGTGTCTCAGAGGCCGGGCGTGGTGGCTCACGCCTGTAATCCTAGCACTCTGGGAGGCCAAGGCAGGAGGATCACTAAAGGTCAGGAGTTCGAAACCAGCCTGAGCAAGAGCGAGACGCCATCTCTACTATAAATAGAAAGAAATTAATTGGCCAACTAAAAAGATATAGAAAAAAAATTAGCTGGGTATGGTGGCGCATATCTGAAGTCCCAGCTACTCAGGAGGCTGAGGCAGGAGGATCACTTGAGCCCAGGAGTTTGAGGTTGCTGTGAGCTAGGCTGACGCCATGGCACTCACTCTAACCCGGGCAACAGAGTGAGACTATGTCTCAAAAAAAAAAAAAAAAAAAAAGAGTGTCTCAGGGCATCTGTCTCTTGTTTTCTGGAGTCACCAAAGCTGCCAGCACCCACCCCCCGGCCGGGGCCAGGGGTCACCACAGGGGCATGTGATCAGCCCGAGGTTATCTAGTGTCCCTTGCTTTGACCCAGGTGCTGACATGCAACGTGGACCCCCAAGCTTCACTGAGAAGGAATGAGGTGGGGGCTCGATGTGGGCTGAGGCTGCATTAGCTGCAGGATTGGCCTGGACTGATAGGGAGGACATCAGCTTCTGGGTGGCCAGGGGTCCCAGGTGTCAGGGTCCTGCTCTTTACAGTCAGTCATCTCATTGCTGCTGTCAGCCAAGCTTCTGTTCAGACAGTGGTTCCTTTATTCTTAATAAAGGATCACACTTGACTCAGCCAAGGAGAACTGGCTACAATGGAAAAGTCTATCTTAAGGGGAAGAGACTCATTGACACTCATTGAAAAAGCAAAGTGTGAAGATAGGCGTATGGTTAGCTCTTTGGAGTATTAGGAAAATCCTGGTAGGGAGGAATGGCAACATCAAGAACCATACTTCTCAGGAAATAATCACAACACAAAAGTTACCAGTGACCGTGTATCTACCATTTAGTGAGCTCTTTACACACATCAACTACTTACCATAATTTACGAGCTCTATGTACATCCACCATCTTCGTGCAAGTACCATTTACCATGTATTTACCGTTTAGCAGTTTCTTTACATACGTCAGCCGTTTACACACCTGTATTACTCAGCAGGTCCTCTACACATAGCTATCCTTCACCATGCAGCTACTGTGGTTCATGCATTTGTCACTTACCATGCACTTGACACTTAGTACAGTCTCTGCATACATGTTTACGTGCGTCAAATGAAGAGCTACGCAACGTGCATGCTAGTTAGGTGCTATTACCTTCAACCAAGGTAGGGAGGGACAGGTGACATTAGCAACCACAGTTCCCTAGAAAAAGATGATAATAAAAACTACCAATTGTTGGGGATCTACAATTTAACAGATCCTTTAAATACATCATCTGGAGAGCTTAAAACTATTATGTAGAGTATTATTCAGCCATAGAAAGAAACGCAGTTCTGACACATGCTACATTGTAAATGAACCTCAGAGACTTCATACTCAGTGAAAGGAGCCAGACACAAAAGGTCGGTCACACATTTATGATTCCGTTTGTAAGATATACCCAGAGAAGCGACATCCAGAGTGACAGAAAACAGATCAGTGGTCATCAGGAATTGCAGGGAGGAAGGAGAGGAGAGTGGCTGCCCAGTGGGCGTAGTGTTTCCTTTAGGGCTGACGCAAGTGTCCAGGGACTGACAAAGGTGTTGGTTGCACAACATTGCGAATGTGCTAAACGTCACTGAGCTGTACGCTCTTAAATGGCTAACTTTGTTATGTGAATTTTGCATCCATAACTGTTTAAAACTTTATATATGTTAAGTACTTTTGCCCTTCTAATCAAGACATGCATGAGCTTAAATGTCAAAAGTTCACACGAAATAAGGTGGAGCCGAAGAATGATGAATTGTATTAGCTCACGTAAGCAAACTCAGTCAGTGGAGTGGGAGACTGGCCTCCAGAACAGCCGATTCCAGGGGCTTAGTGCTGTCAGGCATTACGTTTGCACATCTAGCTCTTTATGAACATTGGCTGGATAGGACCACCAGCCTGGGAGCAGGGCTGCAAGAAGCTACAGCCCTGCATCTTTGAAAGCTCCCTCTCATAGAGGAAAGAAGTTTGCACCTCCATGCCAGTCTAAGAAACTTCTCAACAGAACTGGACCGACTCATCTTGCATCATAGATCCATTCCTGGAACGACAATTATGGCCCAAAGGGTGGTTAGGGGTTGATACGGGTTGATTTGTGTGCCCCTGAAAAGATAGGTTCAAGTCCTAACTCCTGTGCACGTGACCTTATGTGGAAACAGTATTATTTGGTCTTTGCAGATGTAATGAGCTAAGCCAAACTGAGGTCTAGCTGAGTAGGCTGATCTCTAATCCAATACAAGCAGTGTCCTTATAAGAAGAGGAGAAGAGACAGAGACAGAGACACGGAGGGAAGACAGCCACATGCAGACAGAGGCAGAGATTGGAGAGATGTCTCTGCAAGGTGAATAACACCAAGGAGCGCCAGTTATCACTGGAAGCTGGAAGAGAGGCTGGGAACAGTCCCGCAGAGCCCCCAGAAACAATCAACACTGACACCTTGATTTCAGACTTCTGGTCTCCACAACTGTCAGAGAATACGTTTCTGTTGCTTGTGGCATTTTGGCATGGCAGCCTCAGGAAATGAACACAGGGTGGATGAGGTCAGTGTCTTGGTTGATCAGTTCACTTGTCCTGAGGCTGGAGACTTGGGCGTGGGGGTCGACAGCCACCCCTCAGGCACAAGCGTGTGGCGGGGTGGAGTCACCCCTAGAGAAGGAGGAAGGAACTGGGGCAGATGAAGCATGCTGAGGTCCACCACACTGCCCACTGCTACAGGGAGGAACAGGGGCTTGGTGAGGTGGGGCTGCTCGTGCAAAGTCCACAGCTCCTATGTCATAGGGCCAAGATCACAATCCAGATCTCCCTTTCCACAATCTGAGGTCTGCCTGATTACACTGGGTTCACACTGAGGATGCTTAAAGTCAGCCTAAGCATAGGCCTGCTCAGAAAATCTTCTTATTCACAACTTTGCACCTTGTGTAGATCTTACAACCCAGCCCTTCCCTACTGCTTTGGAACATTCATGGGCGTGCCATGGTGTTTAGAGGACACGGACCCCCAGATCCCATCAGAGCTCTGCGTTCCCCAGCTGAGCACACAGAGGGCGGCGCCACATGTCTCTGCAGTCGGGGGCCCCATCTCTTGAGTGTGGGCGCCAGAGCTAATGCGTGTGACACCCCCAGCCCACAGATCTGACCCAGCACGTGTAGTACGTGCATGCAAGGCATCATTTCTGCTTGTTTCCCAGCTTAACTTCCACTGCCCCGTGCACTGTCCTGGCCATCCAAACCCGTGTGCCCCAGTCCTGGAGACTCACCAAGGCAAAGCAGGGACAGGAACTCCGTGATCATAGCGCCCCTTCTTCCTGAACCGAGATCCCGTCTTCAGTCTTGCAGTCCAAAGGAGGAGCAGGCCTGGGGCAGACACAGCCCTCTCCCTGCCACTTTGCCCCAGGACGTGCAGGTGGAGGTCCTGCTCTGAGCCCCTGGACCTCCACACCCCCTGGTGCACGGTTTCCTTCTTGCAACCGACTCAGGAAACAAGAAGCAGTCCATGACCACATCTTCCCCCAAAATCCTGCGTGTGTGGCTCCGCCCACTCTGAGGTCCATCCTACCCCATCTGAAGTCTTGCCCAAGATACTTTTTAAAACTAATTTTTATTTTAAAATAGCTGTGGCTTCACAAAAGATAGTAGAGTTCCAGCATACCCACAGCCAGCTCCTCCCGACAGTAATATAACAATAGTACATCATCAAAGCCAGAGAACTGGTATTGGCACCGTGCAATTAACAGGACTACAGATGTTACTCAGATAGCATCTGTTTGTGCATAACCTGTTTCTCTTTTTTTACTTTTCTTGGCGTGTCTGTGGGTGTAGTTCTCTGACATCTTATCCCCTGCATATCTTTACAGAACCACCACCACAATCAAGGCAGAGACCGTCCCACCACCACACAGGGACTCCCTCGTGCCGCCTCTGTGTAATCTCTCTCTAACCCGCTCTGCATCTCCGCATCTTTATCGCCTCGAGAATTTTACATAAATGGGGTCATACATTACCTCAGCCCTGGAGCTTGGCTCTTCTCACTCCGCACCATGCCTGTGAGATTCACTCAAATTATTGTGTGTTAATGAAAATGAAAAAAATATGATAGCTATGTTCGGCACCTTGATTGTGGTGATAGCATCATGGGTGTCTGCATATGTCCAAGCATATGCAATGTATACATTAAATATATGTAATTTTTATACCAATTATAACTCAACAAAACTTTAAAGAAAAAGAATCCTGGCCGGGTGTAGTGGCTCACGCTTGTAATCCTAGCACTCTGGGAGGCCAAGGAGGGAGGACTGCTTGAGCTCAGGGGTTCGAGACCAGCCTGAGCAAGAGCAAGACCCCGTCTCTACTAAAAATAGAAAGAAATGGGCTGGGCGCGGTGGCTCACGCCTGTAATCCTAGCTCTCTGGAAGGCCGAGGCAGGTGGATCGTTTGAGTTCAGGAGTTCGAAACCAACCTGAGCAAGAGCGAGACCCCCGTCTCTACTATAAATAGAAAGAAATTAATTGGACAACTAATATATATACAAAAAAATTAGCCGGGCATGGTGGCACATGCCTGTAGTCCCAGCTACTTGGAGGCTAAGGCAGGAGGATCACTTGAGCCCAGGAGTTTGAGGTTGCTGTGAACTCAACAGAGTGAGACTCTGTCTCAAAAAAAAAAAAAATATAAAAGAATCCCTGGAATTCTCCTTGTCTGATCCTTGCCTCCCATTTTCCCTGTTTTCCTGTCCTCAATGCCCCTGACTGTGCACTTTGGCAGGGTTCAGTACCTAGCAATACATAATAAACCATTTAAAAGAAAATACAAGTAATAAAAAAGTTGCTGTGTGTATCAACAGTTCATTCCTTCTTTGCTGCTGAGGAGCGTTTCATTGCGTGGATGTGCCGCCGTTTGCTTGTCCGTCCAGCCCTGGACGACATTGGGGTTGTTTCCAGCCTGGGGCTGTTACAAGTGAAGCTGCAGTGAACACTGGTGTGCAGACGTGTGTGTGAACACGCACTGTCATTGCTCTGGGGTAAATTCCCAAGAGTGTGATTGTGTGGTTAAGCTTGAGTTTCACTTTTAAAGAAATGAAGAAAATGCTTTCCAGAGAGGTCTGCCCAAAACATGTTAGTGTCTTACATAAACCAGCAGATTCCTAATACCATGGTTGCAGCTGAGGTCAGTTACCACTGGGGATAAAGGACATTTCAAAGTGATTTAGGAAACAATGAATATTAGAGTTTAGTGAGGTGATTGGCAGCGACGTTAAATATTCCTTGAATATATTCTTCTAGGTGTAGTTCTCTACCAAATACTTTTCATCTGGAACAGATCGCTGGGAACATTCCCTCCCGTGCTTAGGTTAATTTGAATTCGTCAGGGATTATGCAATGATTAACGAACGGCTGAGATATTGGTGCAGAACTCAAATAGATCATAGGCTCTGCATGGCCACCTCCTTTGTTCACGCTGTCAGGCGTTCCTGGCTCTACCTCATTCTGCACTTGCCTAGGAACAGCAGGCGGAGCTGGGGGGTTCTCGTAGGATTTAGTGTCCACTGGGGATTTCCCTTGAGGCCAAACTATGCCTGGCCAACAGCTCTGTAATGGGTGAGTCGATTCTCACACCTTCTCTGAGAGTGCACAATAGATCCAGTTCCTCAGATTGGACTGAAATTACTGAAGGGGTTCAGGTTGGAAAAGAAGACAAAGTGAAGAAAAATCCCAAGTCTGGGCCACTCTGTCATGAAAGACACATGGTCTCAGGCTCATGTAGGCTCATCACCTTCTAATTCAATCTCAACCTTGTCCTGCAAGTGACTTTTTTTTAGTATGATTTCTGAAGAGTTAAATTTCCAACAAATTGCCAATGGAAAGTGAGTTTTAATTTTTATTAAGATTTGAAATCACAAGGTTCGATGAAAACTAGTAACAGGAGTGTGTGTGTGAATGTATGTACACCCACGTGCCATCTCTCTCAGCTTGGCTTATTTCTGCCTAGCTGTATCTGCATTTCAGACGGAGTGGCTTGGCTCTTGTCCACATGTTCTGCATCCTCCTCCTGCGAACAGTATGTGAGCCCTCACAGGTTCTTCTCCTAGAGATAGAAGATGCACAAGAATGTGAATCAAAACATGCAGTGCCTCTAAGGACTTAGGTTGGAACTAAAACATTGTCACTATATTATATCTTATCCTATCGACCAAAGCAAATAACACTGCTTAATCAAAAGCCCAAGGGCTATTAATGCAATCTATAGCAGTATGACTTTTTGGCCACAAATTATTCATATATATTCCATGTACTAAGTATGCTCATTCCCAAACAAGAACTCCCCAAAGTTTTTATCCAATAATAGCATCAGGCTTTAAATCCAGGATCTAGTGATCATTGTCCAATCTGAATGTGGCTCCTTTTGATCCAGTAGTTACAAACCGAAAAGACAAGTTAGCTGTCTCCACACATCCACTACAAAGTAGAAAAATAAGGGTGGATAACCTCAACACTCCCATTGGAAAGGGAGAAGTCCCCATGGGAGGCACACAGTAGTCCCTGGCTCATAGCAATTTTGAAATCGCACTGGGCAGATGCTGCTACTCTAGGGGTGGAAATGTTCTTTGATAAGGTATCAGTTCTGTTCCTCGGGAGTGAATTCCCAGCCCACTGGGAATTCCTCCAGAGGTCTTGGCTTTTCCCTCTGAGATGTCTTTCTTTTATCACCCGTCCTTGTCCACTTGTGAAGGAGACTCTGGAAAATACGTCCCTCTTGATGGATGAGCAGATTTCTCAGCTCGCTTTCTGCCTGTAGAGTTAGGCCCCAGAAGTCTTTACAGAGCCTCTTTAAGTTCATGCTGGCCACACTTTTGCCATTGCAGCTCTCTCAGAAACATGATGGGTTTCCCACATATTTGATTCCAGCCCATTCCATCTGGTAGAATACATAGCCACAGTTCTTTTTGAGACATCATTCTCCCTGTAGATTTAATTATGGTATTTTGGACAAATCAGGCTACTATAGGTGCATATTGCTAGGTTTTCTAGGAGAGATTCTTTGTCCAGTTGAGAAGATGTACTTGACATCACCTTAATTTCCCGAAGGCCCTAACAAAGGATGTTACAGTCACCAACTCTTCACTTTCCTAAAGAATTTATTTGCATGAACATCATGAGAAAGCAATGTAGATTTTTGTTCAATATTTTACAGAAGAGATAGAGTTTTATATCGCACACCCCACTGCTGATTTTGTCCCTCCTGTTCCCAGTGCAGTGCACATGTCCCTGGCTCCATTAGTGTCACTCATCTGATTCCTATTTTAGCCCCACTTCAAATTTCTTAACTCATTTTTACGCAGAGCAATTCAGATCATCTAGCAATTGATCCCTTAACCTACATACTTAAACCCACCTGCTGTAGTCAGCAAAATACATTTTCAAATAAAGAGATATTTATTTACAAAGGCACACTTTCTGAATAGAAATCAGTGACTCAAAGAGATACCCACACTGCACTTTTCATTGCAGCATTATTCACAATAGCCAAGATACTGAAGTAACCTAGTTATACATCGATGGATGAATGGATCAAGAAAGCGTGGTGTATGCATACAATGGACTGTTGTTAGTCAGGATTTAAAAAGGAGGAAATTCTGTCACTTGCAACAACTTGGATGAACCTGTGGAACATTATGCTAAGTGAAATGAGCTAGACACAGAAAGACAAATATTGTATGACCTCATTTACATGTGGAATCTAAAATAGTTAAACTCATAGAAGTAGGCTGATGGTTGTCAGGGGCAAGAGAGAGAGGGAAATGGGGACATGACAGAAGGTATAAAGTTTTAGTTATGCGAGATATTTAAATAAGTTCTAGACACCTGCTATACAGTATGGTGCCTATAGCTAACAATACTGGATTGTATACTTAAAATTTGTTAAGAGGGTAGATCTTAATGTTAATTGTTCTTACCATGGAAAATAATAATGATAATACTAATAATAAAAGGTTTGGAGAAAGCTTTTGGAGGTGGTGAATATGTCTATGCCTTTGAAGGTGGTGATACTTTTATGGGTGTATATCTATCCCCAAATTCACCGGATTGTGTACTTAAATATATGCAGCTTTTTACATGTTAATCATACCTTAATAAAGTGGTTAACATTTTTTAATGCTAACCTTTTTTGAAAATATTTGGAAGTGGTAAATAAGAAAAAAATTCCTGAGAGAGATATATTCTCCTGTTATGATTCATATTCTATCTCCTGAACTGTTATGCTAATTGTCATATACCAATACCTTTAAATAGTGTTTCATGACAATGAGTACTTTTTCACAGCATGGTTATAAATTGCTTCCTCAAAATGGTTTAAATTGTTACATAGTATTTCACTCTATGGAACTTGTAACAAATCAACCTCCTCCTTCTGATCATTAATATTAGTATTGTTTCCAATTTATTTGCTACTATAAAAGTAACTAAAATGAATGACTGGTAGATCTTTTGGATGTCCTTGATTATTCCTTAGGGTAAACTACTGAGAGTTAATTTCCCAAGTGGAAAGCTATAAACATTTGCAGATTGGGAGTTGAGCTTTATAACCTAGTTGCCATTTAGTAACCAGCATTGATTTATCAGTTTAAAAACTGATTATGCATGTGCCATTTTCTAAAATTCTATCCAATATTAGACTTTAGCTTTAAAAAAGTTTATCAAATGGATAGAACAAAATGGTATTTTATTTACTTTTTTTCTATTCTTTCTTTTTTTTTAACTTTTAAAAATATATTGAGAAAAGTGTGTAAAAATCCAAGATATGATTATAGGTTTTATTCCTTTATAATTATTAATTTTTATGGGTATTATACATATATTATTAGGCACATACAAAGTTATGATTATTGTGTATTTCTCTTGAATTGAATATTTTATCATTAAGAAATATTTATCTTCATATCTAATAATATTTCTTGCCTTAAAGTCTACTTAATGTGATATTAATTTACCATGTCAGCTTTCTTTGCCTGGTGTTTGTATGGCATATATTTTTGTACCTTTTTTCTTTCAGCTCTTATGTGCTTAAAGTGTTTATCCTGAAAACAAAACAGCATTGAGATTTTAAAAATATATATATAGTCTTTTAATTGGATTTTTGATCCATGTACATGTAATGCAATTACCAATACTGTAGGATCTTGCTATTCAATTTGTCCATCTCTTTTATGTTTCCTTATTCCCAACTTCTTTGTTTTAAAAAATTATTCAATTATCTGTAGTATGTCATTTTAACTTCTCTATTATTTTTACCTCTGCTTTGTTTCTTGTACAATTCTTTTAGAGTTCACCCTATTGATAATATACATGCCTGACTTACTAACAACTATGTCATATTTTCCAATTTAAAGCAAAAGCTTAACAAGAATGTAACTGTAGACTAAATCTGTTTTTAAATGCACGAAGCACAATCTTGCTCATTCTCTGCACATTTATTTTAGAGATGCACCTCATATTTAATAGCCATTCAAAAATATTCACTAGGCTGGGCACAGTGGCTCATGCCTGTGATTCTAGCACTCTGCAAGACTAAGGCAGGAGGATCTCTTGAGCTCAGGAATTCAAGATCAGCCTGAGCAAGAGTGAGACCCCATCCCTACTAAAAATAGAAAAAACTAGCTGGGCATCATGATGCATGCCTGTAGTCCCAGCTACTTGGGAGGCTGAAGCAGGAGGGTCACTTGAGCCCAGGAGTTTGAGGTTGCTGTGAGCTAGGCTGATGCCACGGCATGCTAGGCCAGGCAACAGAGTGAGATTCTATCTCAAAAAAAAAAAAAATTGCTAACATCGATTTCTTCATTCAATACCACTGTCCAGCATCTTTTTTATTAGCCAGAGAATTCTCAAAATTGTGTATATATCTATATCAACCGCTTTCCATCTGTCGGCAGAATCCTTCAGATCCTGGCTTTAGGAATTTCTGGCTCATGTAGATGTGTTAGAATTTGGGACCTTAATTTGACTATGATCAGATAAAGATTTTGCATAAATTAAGACCTGCAGAAGGTTTTGACTTCTCATTTCCTGAATGTAGTTGTGACACAAAACCTGTAAGTCACGTGAGAGGAAGGAAGAGAAGGGCTGGAGCAAAGACATTACTGTCCACATGACCAGTCGTCCCTCTTGTGACTAAAAATTCAAGAAGGGTCCTTGGAACAGACTGCAGGGCCAGTATGATCCCTGATTTACTTTCCTTCTTCTGTTTCGGTAAGTCCCTTGGATCTGTACGTTGGGGCAGGGGTACATTGAAGATTGTAAAGAGAAATAATAACGTTGGCTTGTCTTCACTGATTGCTTCATGTGCGCCAGGAACCTTACTGGAAGCTGTGTGTACATTTTACCCACCGAGTGTTTTTCAATATGTAGATATTTATTCATATTCTGCATCCAACAGCTGTCCTATATGCTGACACCACCTTTCCTTTATTTTTATTTTTATTTATTTTTTATTTTTTTTGAGACAGAGTCTCGCTTTGTTGCCCAGGCTAGAGCGAGTGCCCTGGCATCAGCCTAGCTCACAGCAACCTCAAACTCCTGGGCTTAAGCGATCCTCCTGCCTCAGCCTCCCAAGTAGCTGGGACTATAGGCATGCGCCACCATGCCCGGCTAATTTTTTCTATATATATTAGTTGGCCAATTAATTTCTTTCTATTTATAGTAGAGACACAGGGTCTCACTCTTGCTCAGGCTGGTTTCGAACTTCTGACCCCGAGCAATCCTCCCACCTCGGCCTCCCAGAGTGCTAGGATTACAGGCGTGAGCCACCTCGCCTGGCCTACCTTTCCTTTATTTACTTAAAATTTTACTTTCATTTTCTCAACATTTTTATTTAAATAAGTGTATTTGTTTGAAGATTGAAATGTCATATCAATAGTCTAAATAAAAAAAAAATTTAGGCCAAACATGGTGCTCACATCTGTAATCCTAGCACTTTGGGAGGCCAAGGCAGGAGGATTGTGTAAGGCCAGGAATTCGAGACCACCCTCGGCAACATAGTGAGACCCTTGTTTCTACAAAAGAAATTTCAGAATTAGCTGGGTGCAGTGGTGTGTGGACCTGTAGTCCTAGCTACTTGAGGGGCTGAGATGGGAGGATTGCTTGAGTACCAGAGTTCAAGGTTACAGTGAGCTATGATCACAACACTGCACTCCAACTGTCTCAAAAAAAAAAAACAAAAAAACCACAACAACAAAAAAAACCAAACAAACAAAAAAGCAAAATTTAAAAGAAAATTCAATGTTACTTACCAAAATTAGAAGGTTCATGTAACCATATATACAATGAAAAGGAAGAAAATGTTAGGGCATTCTAGTTACATGCCATTTCTGGTCAAGTTTCTGAGGCTACTACTTTATTACAAAGGGCATTAAATACCCAGTGTTAGAGGTGTGTACTAAAGTCTAGCACTAATCTTAAAAGTTCTTCTCCTTATGATGAAAGACATTAAAGTGATTTGAAAAGGTAACATTTTTCCGATGCCACTGTGCCATTGCGTCACCTAAAACCATTCCATATAGCAGCATCCATCGTTCATAGTCCACACTGTGTCCTTAAAAATAAAATCCTGCGTGGTAGGAATCAGGCCCACATTGACACATGAGGACTCTGAGTCCCGGAGCTGAGGATTCCCGGCCAGGGTCACACAACGCATGAGCAGAAAAGTTGCAATTCAAACCCAGACCCACCTGGCTCCAAAGTCACTGCTGTTTCCACTGAGTCATGATGAGGAATTGAGAGGGATGCTCGCACGGGGTCTTCAGAATGGAAATGTCCTTAGGGTGAGAGAGAAGATGACGGTCTGGGGAAAATTCTAAGGAGATATAAGAGGAGTGGTCCAAAACGCGTGGAACAGGGGTGCCCCTCAGGACGCCTGTTTGCAGGTACCAAGAAAGCCTGTTTTCTACTCACAGGGACAGCGTGTGGGTCTTACCTTCTTTGGTCGTAGTGACATATTTCTGTCATCACCATATTTTCTGATCCCTACACGCAAGGGTAATCCACAGGGCTCTCATTTCTTAGGGCTGGTCGACCGGCGGGAGGAATAAAGAACGTTATTATAAGTTTGCATCTTTTACCATTCGGGTGACATCTCTCTGAGCCACGCTTGCACTGGGGCGACTCGCCAGTTGGTCAGTGCACATTTGTTGAAGTCCCGCTGCGTGCCGGGAGCTGCGCAGGCGCGGGGATGCTGAGCGGACGGCAAAGAGCACCTCCAGGTGCCGCAGGCTGACGGCACCACGTGTCTCCCGCAGTGCCAGGTGCAGAAACTTTATAAACTCCGTTAGGATTTTACGAGCAGGCCGGGCGCGGTGGCTCACGCCTGTAATCCTAGCACTCTGGGAGGCGGAGGCGGGCGGATTGCTTGAGGTCAGGAGTTTGAAACCAGCCTGAGCAAGAGCAAGACCCCGTCTCTACTATAAATAGAAAGAAATTAATTGGCCAACTAATAGATATAGAAAAAATCAGCCGGGCATGGTGGCGCATGCCTGTAGTCCCAGCTACTCGGGAGGCTGAGGCAGGAGGATTGCTTGAGCCCAGGAGTTTGAGGTTGCTGTGAGCTAGGCTGACGCCATGGCACTCACTCTAGCCTGGACAACAAAGCGAGAGACTGTCTCAAAAAAAAAGAAAAAAAAGATTTTACGAGCAAATGGTTTCTGTTTTAATTGATGTCACTCAAGGCTCCAAGTAGCCTTTATTCCCGGGGATGGTTCCCGGTCACCCTATCCCAGATGACACTCTCAGGAGACTCCCGATGGCCACTTAGAGCCTTCCACAAGGTCAGGAGTGACACTAGGTCGCCTGAGTCCTCAGGCTTCCCCCAACTCCCCACGGTTAGCGTGGTACAAAACAAATCACGGGCTCTCCCAGAAATGGTAAGACCAAGAGTGGTTCAGGATAAAGATGAGGGTAGAAGGATTTGTGGACTGTCACACAGCCAAGGGAGGGCCTGGAGCTCCCGGCGAGAGCAGCCTGCAGTGCTTCTGGCAAATCTCTGTGAGGACAGCGGAGGGGCTGAGACAGGAGCCACAGCCACACTCCAGCGTGGGGACAATGAGGACTCCCAGTGCCCGACCTCCAGGGGTCCGTCCTCAGCAGGAGCCTCTGGGGTGTCCCCAGGGCTCAGGGCGGGACTAATATGCTGCCTCCGGGCAGGTGCTTGTGTCTCATGATGATTCTTTTACAGGGTTCTGTGCTGATCAAAGAAACGTAACTGAACAAGGTGGGTATTTCTTCGATTAAGCCCTCCTTGGTCCCTCATCCCAAATTCCCCTCCCCCCTTTCCCTCCCCTTTCTTTAAATGGGTCCTGAGAGCAGGTGAGCGAGCCAGACCCGGCCGGGCTCTGCGTCCTTCCAGGGTCCCTGCCCAAGCCCTCCCTCGGTGCCTGGCCCAGCTCGGTGGCCCCAGCCGGCAGCAACGTGACCCTGCGATGCTGGACTCCCGCCAGGGGCGTGCACTTTGCTCTCAGAAAGGGAGGGGCTGCTCTGGAGCTGCCGCAGTCACCTGGTTCCCCAGAGGGCCCGGGCGAATTTCACCTCGCTGACCTCCAAATCAGAAACGCGGGAGAGTACACCTGCGAATACTACAGACAGGCGTCCCCCGACACAAGGTCACAGCCCAGCGACGTCCTTCTGCTGTTGGTCACAGGTGAGGAGGGGGCGCCTTGGAATGACGGTGGCGATCCCTGGGACGGGGGAGAGGAAGAAAAGGGGTCCCGTCTCCAGAGTAGTTGGGGATGGCGAGACAGAGACAGGAGCAGAATTGAAGAGCTGGGTTTTATCCAGGACTTGGAGGAGGAAACATCTCTTTCCTGGAGTCGAGTGGCAAGAGGGAGAGATCAGGTGGTTGTAACCTCCTTCCCTCCACGGGAACCCCCGCCGGGAGAGCCAGGGTGAGTGCGGGACCCAAGGGGACCCTCAGGACCCCAGAGCCCAACTTCTCTTACAGGACACTTACCTAAACCTTCCCTCAAAACCCACCAAAATCATAAAGTATTTGCAAGAGGAAACTTGACTCTTCAGTGCGAGAAGCCAGACGCTACGACTCAGCCCACGATGTTCGCTCTGCTGAAGGCGGGGGCTTCCGCCCCCATGCAGCTGCGGAGCCCCGAACAGAACAGGGCCCAGTTCTCCCTTCAGGACCTGGCAGTCGGTGACGCCGGGAGCTACAGCTGTGTGTACTACCAGACGAGGGCTCCTTTCTTGGCCTCACAGCCCAGCAACCATCTTGAAATCTGGGTGATGGGTAAGGTTTTGCACGATTTAGGGGAAGTTTTTCTAATGGAAGAGCATTTGTTCTGCTATTATTATTATTTTTTTTTTTTTTGGAGACAGAGTCTCACTTTGTTGCCCAGGCTAGAGTGAGTGCCGTGGCGTCAGCCTAGCTCACAGCAACCTCAAACTCCCGGACTCAAGCGATCCTCCTGCTTCAGCCTCCCAAGTAGCTGGGACTACAAGCATGTGTAACTCAAAGCATCTGTTCACCTGGGGAGCTGCAAGATCTATTTTTCAAGTTGCATGTAACTCATGCACGGAAGACAATAAAAAAGAACACATTTTTCATTCAATTAGAAAGCATCGTTTTGGTTTTGAAGTTTTTAATTCTATTTTCATAATAAAACACCGTGGCCCCAAGGAAAACAAATTTTTTTCTAATATGGCGGTCAGTGTGATAAACACGGGCTTCTCTAGAGGAGCCAGAACCAAAGCCAGCCTCAGTCTCTTCCTGAGTGAAGCTGAGCTACGCAACGCCCCAAGGCTAAGATGCTGAGCCCCAGCTCCTTTGAAAGCCCGTTGCCCGCGTGAAGTTGAATCTGGCAGCGGGAAGAGGGTGCTGGATTTCAGTGCTCTGGGGAGCTCCTTAGGTCTTCCATGTTGCAAACAAGCCTGATTCCAAGTGCATGTTGGAAAAGGGAAATAGGAAATGTAGGAAGGTAGAAATGAGATGAAGAACAATGAAATGAAAGAATAGAGAACATAAAGGAAAGGTGATGGCCGGGCGCGGTGGCTCACGCCTGTAATCGCTGCACTCTGGGAGGCCGAGGTGGGTGGATTGTTTGAGCTCAGGAGTTCAAGACCAGCCTGAGCAAGAGCGAGACCCCGTCTCTACTAAAAATAGAAAGAAATTATCTGGACAACTAAAAAAAAAAATATATATATATATATAAAATTAGCTGAGTATGGTGGCGCATGCTTGTGGTCCCAGCTACTCGGGAGGCTGAGGCAGGAGGATCACTTGAGCCCAGGAGTTTGAGGTTGCTGTGAGCGAGGCTGACGCCACGGCACTCACTCTAGCCTGGGCAACAGAGTGAGACTCTGTCTCAAAAAACAAAAAAAAGAAAAGGTGATGGACAGACCAGTCAACTCTGACAAAACCCAGCATTTTGTTTTCGGTGATTGTAACTTTAACGAAGATACAGCTGGTCAGTGGCCAGGAAGTGCAAGTGAGCAAATGACTGTCGGACTTGGCAGATCCCTTTGAGAAGGAGGGACACTCTTTTATGGTCAATGCTTAAGCCTTTCTCTCTTTCCTTTTGCCAGGCGATTACACCACGGGAAACCTGGTCCGGCTGTGTCTGGCTGCCGTGGTCATGGTGATCGTGGGGGCCTTCCTGGCCGAAGCCTGGTACAGCCACACGGCGCCCCCACAGGGACCGAGATAAATCGCACTGCTGCTCTTTTCTTTTTCTTTCTTTGTTTTTTTCTTTATATTTTTAATTATTATGGGTCCATAATAGTTGTGTGTCTTTATAGGGTGCATGTGATGTTTTGATACACGCATCCAATGTGAATTAATCAAATCAGGGTGACTGGGGTATCCATCGCCTCAGGCATTTAACATTGCTTTTCGCCAGGAACATTCTTCCCATTCCCAACCTCGGCTACTGCGAACATGAGCACTTCTCTTTTCAGTGTGCGGTCGCACTCTAACCACCAGACCGCCCTTGGGGGCTTCCCGAGTCTCTCAACGTGGGCACAAATGGCATTTTAGGGAGGATATTTCTTTACTCTATGAGACTATCCTGTTCATCTTAGGAACTTTTAGCGTGTATTTTGCGCCCTCATTATAAACATCAGTTGAAGCCCCAATCATTGTGGAACAAGAAAAACAGCAACGGCTATCACGTCTTTCCAAGCTTCCCTAGACGGTGCCCCCCCCACCACCCCCCACCCCCCCGTTGAGAACCTGCGTTTGGAGGCCGGGAGAAACAATGTTCCTCCTCTCCCTCCTCCCCCTAACCTCAGATCTGCCCTCCCCTACCCAGAGACCCCACAGTGCCCGGGGAATGGAAAGTTAGACTGGCTGACCCTTAACAGCGTCCTGTGCGACCTGCATCCTCGGCTCCGTCGGGTTCTGCTCAAGGACGGTTTTCTTCTTCCTGTCCTTCCCGCCTGGGCCAGAGGACAGAACTGGACACGAGACTCGTCTAATACGCTTTTGTGCGCTTGAATAAATACTCACAACTTCAGAGTCAGGCTGGGGAGCAGGTCCACTCTCAGCTGCAGGGGACACTTTCTTCATTTGGAAGTGGAGGAAGCTTCCTGTATAACAGGCGTCCTCCAACTACAGCCCGCGGGCCACATGCAGGTGCTTTTGCCTGTTTGTTTTTTTACTTCAAAATAAGATATGTGCAGTGTGCATAGGAATTTGTTCATAGTTTTTTTATTTTTTATTTTTTTGAGACAGAGTCTCACTGTGTTGCCCAGGCTAGAGTGAGTGCCGTGGCGTCAGCCTCACTCACAGCAACCTCAAACTCCTGGGCTCAAGCAATCCTCCTGCCTCAGTCTCCCCAGTAGCTGGGACTACAGGCATGCGCCACCATGCCCGGCTAATTTTTTCTATATATACATTAGTTGGCCAATTAATTTCTTTCTATTTATAGTAGAGACAGGGTCTCGCTCTTGTTCAGGCTGGTTTCAAACTTCTGACCTCGAGCAATCCACCCGTCTCAGCCTCCCAGAATGCTAGGATTACAGGCGTGAGCCACCACACCTGGCCCATAGTTTTTTAAAACTATAGTCCAGCCCTCCAATGGTCTGAGGGATAGTGAGCTGGCCCCCTGTTTAAAAAGTTTGAGGATCCCTGCTGTATAATATTTATATTGCTTCCCTTCTACTCTCCCTATTTTGTGCTTCTGGACAAGCAATTAGTCAAGTATTTGAATTTATGTACTTATCATATGCATGTTTTAAATTTTATTTCACATTTTCCTGGTGTTTTACATAATTTTGGAACATTCCAGTCCATTCCATGGCATCCATTTGCCCTTGAGCGGTATCCAGTATTTCTGGTGCAGGTATAAAATTTGCATTTTATATATTTGCATTTATTTATTTATTTTAAATTGGCTATTTCAAGCCATTGAATCAATCTAAGTGTTCATCAGCCGATGAAAGGATAAAGAAAATGAGGTACATATAAGAATGGAATACTCTTCACCCAGAAGAATGAAATCTTGTCATTTGCAGCAACAGGGTGGAACTGGAGGTCATAAAGTTCAGTGAAATACACCAAGCACTGAAAGACAGACTCTGCACGGTCTTACTCGTATGTGGGAGCTAAAAAAGTGGATCTCATCAAGATGGAGCATAGGTCGGTGGTTACCGGAGGCCAGCAAGGGTAGGGAAGCCAGAGGGATAAGCAGAAGCTGATTAATGAGGACAAACATACAGTTTGATAGAAGAAATAAGACCTAGTGTTAGAGAAATCAGTCAGGTGACTACAGTTTATAATAATCTGTTGCATATTTCAAAATAATTAGAAGGGAAGAACTCACATAGTTCTAGCACAAAGAAAAGACAAATATTTAAGGTGATGAACATCCCAAGTACACCGATTTGATCTTTACAAATTATATGAATGTATCAAATTATCACACATACTCCAAAACTAGGCACATCTATTATGCATCAATAAAAAAGAAACAAAGTGTGGTATATATTATACACACAGTGGAAGACTGTCAACCTTTAACAAGAGGAAAATCGGTCATTTGCAACAACATGGATGAGGCTGGAGGACCCTGGGCCAAGTGAAACCCGCCCGTCACAGGAAGTTACATTTCCATTTTTTAAGATCCGTTGTGGTTTCTTGCTAATAATATCCCTCTCTTTCATAAATACTCATTCTTACTTTAGAACTATTATGTCCTTTCTTATAACTCTGAGTATGTGCTTATCAAAATTAATTTCTGGTCATAATAGACACAATTCTCTTAGATGTAAGTCCTTCATTTTATTTATTTCCTTTCATCGTGCTGGTTTTCTTTTCCTTTTCTTTTCTTTTCTTTTCTTTTCTTTTCTTTTCTTTTCTTTTCTTTTCTTTTCTTTTCTTTTCTTTTCTTTTCTTTTCTTTTCTTTTCTTTTCGCAAGCATGAAACAAAGTTTATTGAGGAAAGACAGCCAGGTTTACAGAGCAAGTGAGATTCGTTAGCCACAGACGATGAATGGAGCCCCTGTCCTAACGGGAGGGCCCATTGTGTTGGCTTTCATCATGATTGATGGGTCTTGTTTCTTCTCACATCGTTACAGTTGAGATCCCCCTTTTGTAACTGTGAAATCTGAGGTCAGGGCTGCAGCCCCTGTCTGGTTTTGTCCTCTGCATTCTTCATGGTGCTGGGGAGACCTGGGGCTTCCCCTGGGCTGGGTGTCGTGTGGCTGGCCCTCTTGGAACGGCTGTTCCTGGTACTCTCAGGCGTGAGGAGGGCTTTTCTGTCCCTCCCTCCAATCAGCAAACCTCATGGCTTCTGCTGAGAATAGACCCTTCAGCTGCTATCTGGTCAAGAGTAGTCAGGACAGACAGAGCTCTGGACTGATAGTCAATCTGGGTGAGGAAAACCAAAACACCCCTCGTTGGTTTCTCTACCACGACCTCTGGCTGCGGTCTCCACCTTGCTGGCTCATGGAAACACATTTAGTGACGCTCCCGCTCCCTAATGCGTGACTACCCATGTCTATTTTAGACTGTGGTTTTTTTCTCTTCCATCAGATACCATTTTTTAACTTTTTATTTTGAGATTATTATAGATTCACAGAAAGTTGCAAAAGGAGGATAGGGAAGTCCCTCATACCCTTGACCCAGTTTCTCCTGATGGTCACATCATACTTCCATTGCAATGTCAACACCCAGTCGACATTGGTACGATGTGTGCGTACGGTTCTGTGTTGTCTCATCCCAAGGTCACCACCAGCACAGTGAACCTACTGGTCCTGCCCTTCCCCACAAAGGTCTCCCTCATTCTCAACTTCTACGGTCACACGCACCTTCTTATTCCTCAACCCTGGCACCCACTAATTTGTTCTCCATCTCTAAAATTTTGTCATTTTGAGACTGTTATATTAATGGGATCAGACAGCATGTGAGTTTTTGAGAGTGGATTTTTTTCGCTAAGTAAAATGCCCTTGAGCTCCATCCAAGTTGTTGTGTGCACGAATGGTGTTTTACTTTTTATCTGTCACTAGGCAGCATTGCACAGTACAGATGTATCGAACTTTATTCACTTGTAGAGGGACATTTTGGGACGTGGGGCAACATCTGCCACCCCCCCACCACCTGGCTGGCCAAGCGGGTGTCCCCTCCTCCCTCACTGCTTCACGTGTGACCCTCCCAAAGGGTTCTATCCTCTGTCCCAGGTGAGGAATGCAGGGAGAGCAAAGCCATCATCCGTCCTGGAGCCGGGAACCCAGGTTGCACGGAAAAGTGTTAAGGGCCAGCAGGTCTATGCCATCGTTCTCCCCCGCAGCTGTGGGCTGTGCGGGTGGTGGGTGAAGGACAGACCCGAGGTTAGGGGAGGAAGAGGAGGAACATGGTTTCTGCGGAACTCTATACACAGATTCTCCGCCAGGGGGCGCATCACTTCCCACCCTCCTCACGCAAGGGTGCTTGAAAGGGTGAGCTTGGGCTGCTCTTTCTCTTCTTCCGCAGTGAGGGGGGCTTCAGTTGTTTAACGGGAAACCAAAAGGGATAGCACTAATCCTGAAACGAATAAGGCAGTCCCACACTGCAAAGAAATATCCCGCCCCAAATGCCATTTGTGCCCCTATTGAGAAACACAGAAATCCTGGTGGTAGTTTGGTGTTTTGAGAACTTTGGTCACTGCAACAGCCCATGAAAAGGAAAGCGCTCAGGTGTTTTACCTGGACTCACTTGGGGACTCCTTCCGGCTGTGCCAGGCTTCCGCCAGCACAGCGCCCATCACAAGCACGCCTGGGGCGGACAGACCCGGCGGGCGAGGCTGCCCGAGGAGCAGCCAGCTGGCGTAGTCGCTGGGGCGGCTGGAAGATGCCCCTCGCCCTCCAAGTCCGACTCTCACTCGCCCACCTGCGTTTGCTGGCCAGTGGCCAGCTGTACCTTCCTTAAAGTGCTTGTCACTGAAAACAAAACGGGAGGTTTTCCCAGGAGCCGGCGTGGGTGTTCAAGTTCTTTGCTTTGTGTCCTCTGACTTTTCTCTCTTCCTTCACCGATTTCCTCTTTATCTCACTGCCACCTTCCCACATTTCCTCCCCCTCCCCGCCCCTGATCTATGAGGGGGCAACACGAAAGGCCTAAGGGGGACCAGGCATGGCGCGGGCAGAGGAAGGGGCTGGGCCCACAGCTGCCCGCAGGGCACAGAAAGAGGCTGCCAGCTCTCCAGAGCACTCTACAGCGAGGAACCCACGCAGAGGGCTGTGGAGAGCCTGGAACAGAGAGCCCGAGCCTTATCTGACAAGAGGAAGGGGGCCACTGTGTGACCGGGTCACCATGCCCGTGCTCACAAGGAGCGGGAGGCAGGGGAAGCCCTTGTCAAGTTACGAAATCAATTCCTGGAGGCCCCACTTCTGCTTTTGGTTCCTCATTTGATGAAGAAGAGTTTGCTTGGCAGGAAACCTTTCAAAGCATCCTTGGGGGTCAAATGTAGAATTCATGATTTATGTGCCAAGTGAAATTTTCCTTTAGGGGCATGTTTCTAGAAGGATCCAGCCTTCCTGCTCTGTAAAACGTAAACATCTCTCAAGAAAGGACCTGCCTGGCATTTGGGAGATGGGGTTCAGAAATCCAGGGCTAGGGTGGCCCATCAGAGCCTGCAGCCACCCACCAGGGGGTACCAGGAACCCCGGAAAATGAGTTCAGTTTGACAATCACTCATTCAGTTAAGCCACTAAACCACAGTGGCTGGTGGCCGGGGTCAGACCAGGGGTCCAGTTCTTTGACCTTGTGCACACCCCATGAGGTCAGGAGACCCGGGTCCAGCGCTGCTGTGGCTTGTGGGCCGGCCTCTACTTCCCCCCAGGCCAGACCCGCTACCCAGCCCTGCGGGGACCAGCGGTGGCAGTGGGCCGCAGCACAAGCCCCGGCCTCGGGAGCACCTGTCCCCAGAGATCTGCGCCAGAGCTGGGACTGGCGAGATGTGGGTGGTGCCGACGACGCCAGCGTCCCTGGGAGACGGCACATCCCTCCCTGCCGGGACCCAAGGCAGGACGCAGACCTCGGCAGATGGGGTCGTCACCCACAAGAAGGGCGCGTGGCTCCACCCGCTGGGGCGCGACCCCTCCCCAACCCCAACCCCAGCCCTCCCAACCCCCAATCCCAGATGGGAGAGGCCGCCGTGGGGCATCTGGGACCAGACCCGCAGCAGCTGCCGGGCCCAGGCCCGCGAGTGTGACAAGCGGAACCAAGGTGGGACCCGCGCAGAATTCGGAGTGTCCCCACGCCATCAGGAGCTGCACCCTCTGGAGAGGGGGTGGCGGTGGCTTCCCCTCCGGGAGGGGGAAGGGATGGCAGAAACCGAGGCAAACAGCCCGTGGGCTGTGGCGTGAGGGCGACAGAAAGGATGCGAACCGCACCCGAGGCGTCCACACGGATACCGCCACTACGTCCACGTAACACATGTCGTTTCCGCAGCTGACTGGGGTGTCCTCGATGGGACCGTAGGGGGTTGTCCTGAATTCATGGGGTGAGCCATGGGGCGAAGCCAGGTGAGGATAGTGACCAGTCCCAGTGAGGAGGGGAAGGGCGCAGCTGCAACCTTGCTATCAGGAGCCCTGTGCATTTGTGACCCCATCATTCAGGGCCTGTCTCTGGAGGAGCAGTTTGGGTTTTTTTATTTTTATTTCTTTTTGAGGCAGAGTCTCACTCTGCTGCCCAGGCTAGAGTGGCTAGAGTGCGGTGGCATCAGCCTAGCTCACAGCAACCTCAATCTCCTGGGCTCAAGCGATCCTGCTAACTCAGCCTCCTGTGTAGCTGGGACTACAGGCATGCCCCACCATGCCCGGCTAATTTTTTCTATGTATTTTTAGTTTGCCAATTAATTGCTTTCTATTTTTAGTAGATACACGGGGTCTTGCTCTTGCTCAAGCTGGTTTTGAACTCCTGACCTTGAATGATCCTCCCGCCTTGGCCTCCCAGAGTGCCAGGATTACAGGCGTGAGCCACCCCGCCCAGCCAAGGAGCAATTTTTATTAATAGAGAAGTGGTGTCGTGCACGATGACCGCAGGGGATCCTATGGTCATGCCACCAGGCTGGTTGGCAGGAACTGGGGTGATACTGAATACCAATATTAGACGCCGGGGAACACGCTGAACACCCGGAGGGGGGCGCCACGACGAGGACAGGGCACTGGCTGAAAGAGCATTCCTGGGAGAGGGGTTGAAATGGGACGACAAACACCTGCACGGGTGGCTCCACCCCTGCAGGACTAAGGTTGGTTGCCTGGTGAGGCAGTGATCCCCCAGACAGGACAATGCCAGACCTTGATTTTCTTCAGTAGAGGGCTTGGTATTTTGTATTTGGCACCCGTGGCATTTAGGAGGTAAAATAGTTCCGATGCATCACCAGTCCTTATGTGTCTTTGGAATCCAGGGAGTGGAGAGAGAGAGATGACAATTTCAGATTGTCCAGGTAATGAGTAAAATATCCGACTTAACACACACACACACACACACACACACACACACACACCCCACTGAAATTCAGTGGCTGGCTCAGCATCCAATACAAAATTTAACTTTATGCATGCAACAAACTTTAAAAAGGTGAAGTTTAGCAGCTAAGTATCTGGGCAATTGTGCATTTCGGCTTCAATCAAGGAAGGCTTACGCTTGGCAGTGGCCCTGGTTCTAAAGAGAAGCCTACATTGATGCCATCCCACCTGGCACATCCCAGCGACTGCAAAGTTCTTCTCTAAACCCAGCAGCAAAAATGCCTCCTGCAGGCAAAATCCACAGGGAGACAAACGTAATGACGCCACCATCACAGGAAGGGGGACCCTCTCCTCCTCTTGATGCTGACGACATAGCACTTTATTTCTAACTGTGAAACATCCACTGGCTGTATGGGAAGAGTAAACAGCAGCGATGGGAATTTACAGCCCTTAGGAGTGGAATTATGCAGCATCCAATACAGCAGAGTCCGCTTGGGAACAAGAAGGCAATTTTAGAAGAATTCTAACAGTAAACGCCAGGAGATATGAGTGGGTACTCCATTCAGGACACAGAGGCAGAAGGCTGTTCTCAGAATAAGAAAGAGTTGCTGGCTGGCCGGGCGCGGTGGCTCACGCCTGCAATCCTAGCACTCTGGGAGGCCGAGGCGGGAGGATTGCTTGAACTCAGGAGTTTGAGACCAGGCTGAGCAAGAGTAAGACCCCTGTCTCTATTTAAAGAAAGAAAGAGTTGCTGGAAATAAAACCACTAATGCCACAATAAATCGAAATTGTAAGAGAGGCAGAAAAGAGTAGAAGGCACTGTGCTGATGGGTGGACTCATAATTTCGAAGGACAATATGGGACACATGATCCAGGACTACAGGACAAGACTGCAAAGGAGTGGGAATGACGCAGGGAAAGATTAGAAAAGATGCCTGTGCAAGGAACAAGCAAGCAGGAATTGAAAACAGAGCAAACACTCTCTGCGTACATAAGAAAAATTCTAAAAATCACAAAAAGTACCTGTCACTGGGACCTCGAGGTAACTGCTGGGTAGGAGGCCCAGCAGAAGGCTGTTGTCCGGCAGCACCCGCAGCTGCAGTCCCCAGCGTCCCCAGCTGCCATGTTCTGGAGGGAGACGTCCACCGCTCCCTTCTGAGCTCTTCCGCTGTGCGGGCGTCGGCGTCCCTGCCTGCAGTAGGGCAAACGCTTTAAACCCAGTGACACGGGCTGGCTTCTGGCCCCACAGAGTCACCTTTTCTCCAGCTGCCACCTTCAGACTTTGGTGGGCACGGAGGGAAGGCTTAGGTGAATATCCTGTAAGGGAAGGAAGGTCCTGGGGAGCAGCCTGGGTCCTCCCCGGGCCCTGGTCTCCCGCAGGAGGAATCGACAGCAGCGAAGGGAATCTGCACGGCTGGGCGGGAGGGGCGTGCCGCAGCCAGCGACCGGAATTCCAGCAGGACACAGAGATAATTTCACAGGAAGCTGCACAGCATGTGCCATGAGACACGAGGAGATACCGCTCCGTGAAACAAGGGCGCGCAGCCGTGGAAACACCACGTCTGGAAGTCATTGCTGGGAATAAAATAACTGACACCGAGATGAACCAGAACTTTAGCTCATGCACAGAGTCCTGGAAGGAACTCAGCTGACGGTGGGGTTAATTGTGTTGAAGAGCAACGTGGGAAATTATCCAAGAATGCAGGACCTGAAAAAGGCAAGGCAGTGGAAACCCTAAAAGAGATTTATAAAGGGATGGTAGTGCAAGTGATGAAAAAATAATGAAGGAATAATTAAACAAATTATCTCCCATTAAAAAGAAAAACATCTCCTAAAAACCATGCAAAACCTTACCTGTTACCCAGATCGCAAGATGATCGCTGGGGTACGAGGCGCGGAAAGGAGCCCTCGTCTGATGGTACACACAGCTGTCGTTCCCAGTGTCACCGACTGTCACCTGCTGGAGGGAGAGCTCCACCCTGTTCCACCCCGAACTCTTTTGCTGCATGGGCAGTGACGTTCCCGCCTTCAGCAGAGCAAACATTTTTAACCCACTCGAATGGTCTGGCTTCTGGCACTGCAGAGTCACCTTTTGTCCTGCAGTCACCTTATGACTTGGGTGAGCTTGGATGGTTGGTTTGGGTAAAGATCCTATAAGAGAAGGAAGGCTCTGAGTTGTGGGGTGAAGCCTGGCGTCCCCCCCTTGTTCTCCTAAAGTGGGGGTGAGTCAAGGGGCTCTGACCTGCTCCCAGCTCCAGGCAGGGCTCTTCCAGCCGGCCCTGGCTAAGCCACGGCGTTCGGCTGTGATCCTGTCTCTCTCCCTCACCCCCATCAACTACTGTGGAAATGGAACCCACTCTTCCCTCCCTTCCTCTGCTTCCTCCCTCGTCCCTGTCCCCCCACATCATTCAAAGTCACCCCCTCCTCACCTGTAGCCAACAGCAGAAGGACATCGGGGCACTGTGACCTTGTGGAGGGGACCTTTCGTCTGCGGTACTCACAGGTGTGCCTGCCAGCGTCCCTGGGCTGTGGATTCAGCCGGGCGCTGCGCAGAACCAGGTGGCCTCGAGGATCTCAAAGCAGCCCCTCCCTTTCTGAGAGCAAAGTGCACGCCCCTGGCGGGAGTCCAGCATCGCAGGGTCACGTTGCTGCTGGCAGGGGCCACCGAGCTGGGCCAGGCACCGAGGGAGGGCTTGGGCAGGGACCCTGGAAGGACGCAGAGCCTGGGCTGGGTCTGGCTCGCTCACTTGCTCTCAGGACCCATTTAAAGAAAGGGGAGGGAAATCGGGGAGGAGAATTTGGGATAAGGGATCAAGCAGGGCTTAATTGAAGAAATACCCACCTTGTTCAGTTACGTTTCTTTGATCAGCACAGAACCCTGTAAAAGAATCATCACGAGACACAAGCACCTGCCCGGAGCCAGCATGTTTGTCCCGCCCTGAGCCCTGGGGACACCCCAGAGGCTCCTGCTGAGGACGGACCCCTGGAGGTCGCACACTGGGAGTCCTCGTTGTCCCCACGCTGGAGTGTGGCTGCGGCTCCTGTCTCAGCCCCTCCACTGTTCTCAGCGATTCTCCCAAGCCATCTCGTGTCCCTGTCACCTACACATGCTCCAGGTCTTTCTCAGTCCCACAGATACGCCCGAAACCCTTCCACTCACATTTCTATCACAAACCAGCCCAAGACAAGCCAGTCCGACCATTTGTACTGGTGTCTTGTTACATGTTCTCCACCCGGGGAGCAGGCCAACCACACAGGGGACTGGCGAGCACTGGGGACTGAGGTGCCCTCCTCTGACCCCTGATGAAGTCAAGGCCTTGGGAATCTCGTACAGCACCAAAGAGTAAGCACCAAAGCCTGCTTGGTGCCTTCAGTGACATAAATTAAGACAGGAACAATTTAGCTATAAAATCTTGGGGTCCATAAAAGTCTATTTACCTCCTAACATGGGAGCGCCTGGGAGGAAGGGATTCCGTGCCATTCACCTTGGCACCCCCAGAATCTACACAAGCCCTGGCGCATAGTAGGACCTCAGCAGATCCGTTCTCACTGACTGATGAGATGCCCAAGTTTAAGCGTGGCTCAGAGAGATCTTACCAGGAAGATAAAAGATGCAAACTTATAGGACCTTCGTTTCTTCCTCCCACTGGATTTACCCCACTCCCAAAACAACACCATGATCACCCATATCCATTAGCTTGGGTAAGCGTCTTGTTGAATGGTGGAAGCAGCCTTTTCATTAGAAAGGGCTAGTTGTGATCATCTCAGCTCTAGTCTTGAAAGGTTTCTGAACCAATCTTTCCCTTTACGTGATTTCAGCCCTTGTTACTCCAAACAGGACAAAATTCGCTGCTGGTTCCCTGAAAGAGAACTCAGAAATCCAGATGGACAATCCAGAAAGAGAAAACACACATTCCTCCTCTGCTTCCCATTTGGCTGCATTTGCAGAATACTTTGACTCAATTGTTCTTAACCTTGGCTCCACGTGGGGCTCCTTGAGGAGAAGGTAAGAGTCCCAGTGCACAGAACAACTGCAGGCGAGCTGGAACAGAAGGTCCCGGGATAGTGTGCAGAGCTCAGTACTTTTTAATATTTTCTATATTAAAAGAGAGATCATAAGACTGATGGAACAGACTCCATATAGCAATGAGATACCAAGTCACAAACGAGACCTAAGACCTTGCCAGACAAGGGTGAAGTCACACACCCCCTGTGCTTAAAGAATAATCTATGTTCTAACTGCCACAAGGTTATTTCTCTCCGGCAGCTAAACCAGCACTGGTTTAGCTAAACAACACTGAAACAATTGCAGCTCACTGGTCACCAGACGCTGACTAACTGACCCCTGTTCCACAAGCCGTAGCTACAGTATGGATTGGACAAGAGGCTGATTTCAGTAACTGTCTCCTAAGAGCCCACCAACCACGGGCGGGTTCTGGCCAGTTTCCAGAGGCGGTACACTGAGTGTCTCCGGGTCCCTGCTTTTCCTTTTGACATATAGGGGCTAATTCTAATGTACTTAAATGGTTAAGTCTCCACCCCAAAGTGCACACAGGATGCATGTAACTCGCATGTTTGCTTGCTACACGTCCGTGCAAGCCCCTTGGCGAATCTTCATAGCTCCTCCTGTAACCTACTGAATATGTGTACTTGCTCAACCCAGTGGGCGTAAATCTCAACCTCTCCCTTTTTTTCCTCTAAAATGCCTGCTTTTGGTCTCTGCTGCAGGCTCTGCATCCCAGCCTGACAGGATAGCCACCCAGTAGGCTGCAGCTCTTTAAAAAGAAAGTCTCCTCTCCAAATTTATGGAAACGTCGCGATTCCTCGGTTGACACCTGTATGGTACAAGTATGCAGTGAACATGGAGAAGCACTGCTCTAACTGAAACCGGGCAAACATTTCCTGGGACCTCCAAAAAGACATTCAAAATGAACTGCTTCATAGAGACTTCCAAGTGGAAGTGACCCTGGACTTTTCCAATGGTTCGCAACCATCCTTCCTTACATGCCCATATTGGGGGGACAGACTTTTGCTCAAGTACTAAGATTGTCTTCAAATTCATACCAAGCCTCTAAACAAATATTATTGATAGAAAGAGGTTAATCTAACATAAAGGAGGTTGTTAGACATAAATTTATAAATTCCTAAGATCAGAAATTTCCTCTCTTTCCCAAGTATAGAGTAACAGTTTAGTCTGTCAGGGCAAAACTGAGACGTTACCAGGAATTTTTGCTGTAGTTACCTGGATACATCAAGAAAATTAAATTTTATGGTCTGAAAAGGGGAAATTAATTGAACTATGCCAAGGTGTTGAAAGAAAATGTTGCAGAATCGGTGGCTCCAGGAATGGAAGGAAGAAAAGAGTGGAGAGAAAAGACGCTTGGGAACACCTGGACCCACTCAGGAGCCGGAACCCACCTAAACAGTAGTGTCCGAGCCGGGGTAGGAGGGGGGAGAGGGAATGATAAAGGAATCATTCCTCTATGAAAATGACAATAATCATCATGTGCATACATAATCTCTAATCGCAAAGATAGCCCCAAAGATCATTGCCATTATCCCCATTATACAGATAAGGAAACTGAGCCCCAGCACCATGTCATGTGTTTCACAACGAAGCTCAACCAGAATGCGCAGGAGTGGAGTTTCCCAAGCAAATATGGTGGATTCACTCTCCCCCCAGAAACACAGTCTGAGAGCCTAAAATCCCTTTCATTACCCAAAGACAGGGCTCACAAGGACTCCTCTGGAGTCTCGGCATGAGAGAAATACGGTGAAGACAGACAGCACTAAGTCACGGTGACCAAAACCAAGCCAAGACCCACGCATGGCCCTGTACAAGGAGACCAGGTTTCTTGGTACCTGCAAACATCACCTTGAGCTGCATTTCAGTACCACACACTTTTTGAGCTGCGCCTGTTTTATCTTCTGATGGTTTCCCCAATCTGCATCTGTTCACCCACTCCGAAGACAGTGCATGTGTCCGTCTTAGTTTCCCATTATGAGCGAGTGGAAGCACCAATGTCTTTGGAGCCAGACGAGCCTGGGTTTGAGGCTTTTCAGCTCACCCTCTGTGGGGCCCTAAGCAGAAGTCTGGAGCCCGTCTGAGTCCTCATTCATCAATATGGGCCCAATTCCCATCTCTGAGGACTGTTTTCAAGCACCCGAGTGGTATTTCCCACGCTGTGGAAAAAGAACCACAGACAATATATGTGGAATGATTTTGGGTGATGCTGGACATCGTATTTTATAGCCTCTATGTGGGCATCAGAAAGATGTTACCCTATGGAGTCACTTTAAACACTTTTGATCACATCAAGGAAAAATTCTCAGGTTGGAGATTGACCTTAGTTCACCTCTCTCTCTGGCTCATCACCCTCTGCGACAAGGAAGTGTCTGGCAATGGGCTCCGAAACTAGACCAGCAACGACGCACGGCCAGAATGCCCTAACATACTCGTCCTTTTCATTCTACACACATTTACTTCCAACTTCCATGTCTAGTAAGTGACACTCCATTATTTAAAGACTTGATATAAAATGTCCATGTTCCAGTGAACACACATATTTGCATAAACAATATTGTCCCTAAAAATAAAATGTGAAATAAACCAACAAGAGCTATCATAGACACAGAGCAGTCACGAATATGGAATGTAAAATGTTTTAAAATTGACTGTATGATGTTTGCTTACATTGTTAAATAGACCAAAAACCAGTGAACGGTACACTTTTCAGATCTATGATTTCTGATGGGTTCTTGTTTATATTTTCTATCTTTTTGTTAAAATTCTCAGTTTGTTCTTGCATTGTTCTCCTAATTTTGGTGAGCTTCTTCTTTATGACCATTGTTTTGAATTCCTTGTTGGGTAAATAACATATCTCCAATTCACTTCAGTTGCTTTCTGTAGATTTATTTGCAAGATATTTTTCTGGGTTTTGTTTTTTTTCTGCTTTCCTTGACTCTCTGTGTTGGTTTCTGTGCATTAGATAAGACAACCACCTCTCCTGTGCTTGTCAGACTGGCCTTGTGTAGGAGAAGGATTTCACCAATCCCTCCAGCTAGAGATGTTAAGGTTCCTCTCAAATCATTCTGTTTATCCAGACTACTGTCTTTGTCTTTGGTGGCCCCCAGATTAGGCTGTGCATATCCTGTCAGCACCCCGTGATCAGTAAGGTAGAAGCTAGACCCTCTAGATGGATCTGGAAAGGTTGAGGTGTTGGATGTGTGTTCCAGTTCCTTCTATCTTCATGTCGAAGCTAATCACAGGTGTTACTCTCCCACTCTCTCTGCACTAAGCTGGGCAGAGCTCTGTGGCAAATGCCTATACTCCATTCGGGCTGCACCCTCTGATCCTGGGAAGGCAGCTGTTAGAACCAGGCCCAATGTAGGCTTACTTCTTTGTTTTCCATGGCCTATAGAGAGTCAGGAACGCACCAGCCTATTAACTCCCAGGACTAGGTTGTCAAAGTTACAGTCCGTTGAAGTTGTGGCACTCCGTGCGTGGACAATCTCCTCCCAGGAAGAACGGGTAGGTCTGGATTTATCAGTGAGGCCAGCTGGAGGAAAGGCTTGGAACACGCCACGTTCCTGCTCTGGCTGCCTGAGGGCTACTGTGTGTCTGCCTTGTTAGCTCCCTGATGCAAATTAGTTAGTGGCCAGGCCACCAAGTCACCACTGGAAGGGTGTACAGTAAACTCTTCCAGAGGGAAAATTGGAGCTGCGTGTCCCAGTCCATCTTCTGCACAGCTCCCAGGGAGCATAGTCCCTTGAATTGCTTGTATGCCTGTTTAAAATCACCTCTTCGAGGCCGGGCGTGGTGGCTCACGCCTGTAATCTTAGCAGTCTGGGAGGCCGAGGTGGGCGGATCGTTTGAGCTCAGGAGTTTGAGACCAGCCTGAGCAAGAGCGAGACTCCATCTCTACTAAAAAATAGAAAGAAATTAGCTGGACAACTAAAAATATATGGAAACAATTACCTGGGCATGGTGGCGCATGCCTGTAGTCCCAGCTACTCGGGAGGCTGAGGCAGAAGCATCACTTGAGCCCAGGAGTTTGCTATGAGCTGGGCTGATGACACGGCACTCTAGCCTAGGCAGAGTGAGACTCTGTCTCTAAATTAAATAAATAAATAAATAAATAAAATCAATCTGTGATCTAGGGAGACTCACATATACGTGCTCCCTTTTGCTCCCAGAGCTAGGAGGTTTAGGACACAGTCCCTGGGGTGGAAGCTATAAGAGTTGGGGCAATCTATATGTTGACAAACGCCTTCCAGAAAAGCGTACTAGACTTGGAATTATCTCGGGGGTGAGATGCGGGAGAAGGTTTGAAGATGGTCAGTCTGCTCCTCAGGCTGCTGGTGGGTTAATGTTTTTCTGCCCCTTTTACTCCCCAGTGCAAGTAGCCAGATGTCAGGCCACCAAGTAGCCAGGAGAAGAGTGTGTCATGGATTCCTTCCAGGGAGAAGAAGGGAGCTGCATTTTTCAGCCCCTTCTCAGCACTACTCCAGAGGAATGAGACCTCTGGCAGTGCTTGTGCACCATATGAAACCATGGCTTTTATCCTGCCGTCTAGAGACTACTTAAGAAGTCATGCGTGCCTAGCCCCGCGCCCCACTCTGCTCCCGTAACGGGCGAATGCAGAGACAAACCGTGGAACACCTTAGAGTTAGGGCACTGTATGAGGTCCAAACCCTCCTCCACAGGGAGAAGCTGGGTGTTGGGGCTCCTTTCCTGACTGTATGGCCAAGTACCCGGGAGGGGGTCTGTGCCGAGGATGCCTCAGTTTCCCTACAGATTTGATATTATCTTTTCTCAGTTGCCCAGTGGGTAGGAATCTCTCAACGGTTTCCTGACATTTTTTCAAAGGAAATTGATCCATGAATTGTTCATTTAATCCATCTGTGAGTAGAGAGAGTGAGTCAGGAGCCTGGTATTCTGCCATGTTTCTGATGTCATCCTTGGCATTATTGTTTAAAACTCAACTTACTGTAGATTAACGGAATGATTTCCGAACGCTCTACGCTGTTCCCTTTATCAATATGTCTATTCCTTTGCCGATACCTCACTGTATTGATTATTCCCGTTTATACATAAGTCTTGAAAACAAAGGACGTTGATTTGTCAAAAATTTTTAATTTTTCTGGCTATTTTAGATTCTTTAAATTTTCATATAAATTTTAGACTCTACTAGTAAATTTTTACCAAAAGGTTTTGGGTGTATTGAGCTAGTGCCGAAGCTGACTCACGTAGGTCAATTTGGAGAGCATGTATATAATAATACTGAGTCTTCTGGTGTAGGAGCACTGTTTATCTCTGTTTATTTAGATCTTCTCTAATTGCTCTCAGCAACATTTTGTGATTTTCAGTGTACATAGCTTGCATATATCTACTAAATGTTATCAAGTTTTTCATGTTTATTCATATCATGTAAATAGTACTGGTGTTTTGTTTTGTTTTGTTTTTGAGACAGAGTCTCACTCTGTTGCCCAGGATTGAGTGCCCTGGCGTCAGCCTAGCTCACAGCAACCTCAAACTCCTGGGCTCAAGCGATCCTCCTGTCTCAGCCTCCCAAGTAGCTGGGACTACAGGCATGCGCCACCATGCCCAGTTAATTTTTTCTATATATTTTTAGTTGGCCAATTAATTTCTTTCTATTTATAGTAGAGACGGGGTCTCCCTCTTGCTCAGGCTGGTCTTGAACTCCTGACCTCAAGCGATCCACTCACCTCGGCCTCCCAGAGTGCTAGGATTACATGTGTGAGCCAGCACGCCTGGCCAATAACGTTGTTTTTAAATTGTTATTTTCAGCAATTCACTATGTGTACACACAAATACAATTAATTCTTATTGTGTTATTATATCCTGCTTCGCTGCTACACTCAGAGATTATTTCTTGTAACTATTTGTAGATTCCTTAGGACACTGACATAGCAGATACTTTCCGTAAATTTGATAGGTTTACTTCTTCTATTTTTGCAAACATCCAAAATGTTCTTATATAAGTGAACAAAGTATGATACATCCATACCTTGCAATACTACTTCCGTTTGTTTTTTTTTTTTAAAGTAACAACCATTCATACATAAATAATATAAGCTGGATAGGTTTCAAGGGCATTTTGCTTAGTGGAAAAAATCCAATCTCAAAAGCTCCCATGCTGTCTGACTCCATTAGTATAACATTCTCAGAATGACAAAATATCAGAGATGGAGGACAATTTGGTAGGTGCCATGATTCAAAAATGCTCTTGGGAAGAGAGGTGTGTGACCGTGGAAATTTAGAATGAGAGAGATCTTTGCAGGGATGCACTAGACCAGCAGGTTGATTTGGGCTGGTGGTGACTTGAATATACACAGGGCCAGCCAGAACACACAGCCCAGGAGAAGCCCCAGGCCTCCCCCAGCGCCTTGAAGGATGCAGAGAACAAAACCAGGCACTGGCTTCTGCCCTGACCTCAAATTTAACAGCCGCAAAAGAAGAATCTCAACCATAGCGATGTGAGAAGAAACAAGACCCACCCATCATTTGATGAAAGGCAACGCAACAAAAGAAAATAGATAAAACGAAGGACTTGCATCTAAGAGAATCATGTATATTATGACTAGAACTTAATTTGGATAAGCATATCCTCAGAGTTATAAAAGAGGAAATAACAGTCCTAAAGAATGAGTATTTCTGAAAGAGAGGGATATTATTAGCAAGAAACCACAACAGATCTTAAAAATGGAAATGTAACTTCCTGTGACTGGCGGGTTTCACTTGGCCCAGGGTCCTCCAGGCTCATCCATGTTGTTGCAAATGACATGATTATCCTCATTTTAAAGTCTTCCACTGTGTATATAGTATATACCACATTTTCTTTCTTTTTTATTGATGCATAATAGATGTACATAGTTTTGGGGTGTTTGTGATAATTTGATACATTCATATAATTTGTAAAGATCGAATCAGTGTGCTTGGGATGTTCATCACCTTAAATATTTGTCTTTTTTTTAAATGCTAGAACTATGTGAATTCTTCTCTTCTAGTTATTTTTTTTTTTTCACCCTGTAAATTCAGACAGATCTTCTAGTTATTTTGAAATATGCAACAGATTATTGTAAACCATAGTCACCCGACTAATTTCTCTAACGCCAGGTCTCGTTGCTTCTATCAGACCATATACTTGCACCCATTAATCAACTTGTCCTCATCCCTGTCTCCTCCTTACCCTTCCCAGCCTCTGGTAACCACTGACCTACTGTCCATCTTTATGAAATCCACTTTTTCAGTTCCCACATGTGAGTGAAAATGTGCAATGTTTGTCTTCCAGTGTTTGGTGTATTTCACTCAATGTAATGACCTCCAGTTCCATCCTGTTGTGGCCAATGACAGGATTTCACTCTTTTTTATGGGTAAATAGTATTCTATGGTATTTCACATATTCTTTATCCATTCATTGGTTGATGGACACTTAGGTGTAATTCAATGACTTGAAATAGCCAATTTAAAATAAATAAATGAATGGAAATATAGCTGATGACATTTCATGCCTGCACCAGAAAGACTGGACACCACTCAAAGGCAAATGGTTGCCATGAAATAGATTGCCTCCCCCCTACATTAGGCAAAGTGTTGAAAACATATGAAATAAAATTTAAAAGACGTGTATTATAAGTATATATTCCAATATTTGACTAAATGCTGGCCCAGAAGCACAAAATAGAGAATGGAAGGGAAGCAATAATAAATACTATACAGGAAGCCATGTTTCCTCTACTTTCCAATGGAGGAAGAGTCCCCTGCAGCTGAGAGTGGACCTGCCACCCAGCCTGACTCTGAAGATTTAAGTATTTATTCAAGTCATCACAACTGTACTGAGTGTTTCTCCCCACTCCTGCCGTCTGTTCCAGGCGAGGAGTACAGGAAGAAGAAAGCCATCCTGCTGTCCTGGAGTGGATCCCAGTAGAGCGGGGGATGCAGCCTTGAGGATCAGCTGGTCCAACTCAATCCAAAATTCATCATTCCCCTGGGGAGCTCCGGGACCTGTGGGTAGACGACAACAGACCTGAGTTTAGTGAAGGGCAGAGGAGGGAGAATATCATTTCTGCTGGCCTCTGGACACATGTTCTAAACCAGGGGGAGCATGACCCCGACTTCCCATTCCTCCCCACCCCATCCAGGGACGTTTGAAAGGTGTGACAGCAGCTGCTTTTTTTCTTGTTCCACAATGATTAGGGCTTTAACTGGTACTTAATGGGAAGGAAAATTTAGCAATTTAGAGTTTCTAAATGCTCCTGTAATGAATAAGCTAGCCCCACCTGGTAAAGAAATAGCCCACCTAAAATATCATTTGTGCCCACACTGAGATCATAAGGAGTCCCCATGGTAGACTTTGGTGTTTAAAGGACTCGAATTTATCAGGAAAAGGGAGGGGGAGAAAGGGGAGGGAAAGGAGAGGAGGAGGACGAGGAGGGGAAGAGGTTGGGGAAGGGGGAGAGGGAAGGAGGAGGGTGGGCAGGCAGTGACTTCTAGAAAGAAGGCTGGACAGAGAAGGAAGAGAGGCTGTGAGCAGAGGAGGCGGAGCAGCTTGCCCAGGGAAATGTCAGGCTGGAGCTCTCCTTCTTAACCCTAGTTCCCAGGGAGGCAGGGAGGGGCTTTTGCGCCACTTCTAGCTGTGTCCCGGCCGCACTGCTCTGAGTAGTCTGGGTCCCAGCAACCATGCTGCTCCAAAGCTCCTGCTCCAGGCTTCCAGTGAGGGCCGGAGAGGCTAAAGACAAAAAGAAACAAGCAAACAATTTTTTTAAAAAATAGAGAACTCCTGGCCAGGGGCGGTGTCTCACCCCTGTAATCCTAGCATTTTGGGAGGCTGAGACGGGTGCATTGGTCGAGGTCAGGAGTTTGAAACCAGCCTGAGCAAGAGCAAGACCCTGTCTCTACTATAAATAGAAAGAAATTAATTGGTCAACTAATATATATAGAAAAAATTAGCCGGGCATGGTGACGCATGCCTGTAGTCCCAGCTACTCGGGAGGCTGAGGCAGCAGGATTGCTTGAGCCCAGGAGTTTGAGGTTCCTGTGAGCCTGGCTGATGCCACGGCACTCACTCTAGCCTGGGCAACAAAGCAAAACTCTGTCTCAAAAAAAATAAAAAAAAAATAGAGAACTCTGTATTTATCAAACGGCCAGCATGGTGACTGTAGTTAACAGGACTGCAGCGGATAGTTCAAATTTGCTAGGAAGGGAGATATTAAATGGATAGGTTCGTTAGCTGGTTTATAGCCATCATTTCACAATTAGTGAAATTACTTGGTACACAATTAATTACCTACTTAGTATGAGGGTTCCCCTAACTCCAGGTTTATTGAGGTATAATTGATAAGTAAAAATTGGATATATCAAAATATCACATTATACAAAAATATAATTCAATTTTTTGTTGGTTATATCTCAATAAATCTGGGAGTGGGGGAAAGAGTCCCATATCTCTACAACAGCCCATAAAAAAGACAAGTGCTCCAAATGAATGTTTATAGCAGCACAATTCACAATTGCAAAGATGTGGAAACAACCCAAGTGCTCATCAATACATGAGTAGATTAATGAAATGTGGTATATGTGTACCATGGAGCACTATTCAGCTACAAGAAACAATGGTGATCTAGCACCTCTTGTATTATCCTACATAGAGCTGGAACCCATTCTACTAAGTGAAGTATCCCAACAATGGAAAAACAAGCACCACATGTACTCACCAGCAAATTGGTTTTAACTGATCGACACTTAAGCGCACATATAGTAGTAACATTGATCGGGTGTCGGGCAGGTGGGAGGGGGGAGGGGATGGGCATATTCACACCTAATGGGTGCGGCGTGCACCATCTGGGGGATGGACACGCTGGAAGCTCGGACTCCGGTGTGGCAAGGGCAATACATGTAACTTAAACATTTGTAACCTCAAAATATCTGAAATAGAATTTTTTTTAAAGTTCAAAATATTAAAAAATTAAAACAAAAAAGAGAAATACTCAGTTGTTTTACCTGGATCCACTTGTGGATGCCTTCTGGCTGTGCCAGGCTTCAAACAGGAAGGCTGCCATAATAACCACCGTGAGGGCGGCCAGACCGAGTCGTAGGAGGTTCCCCGTGGTGTAGTCGCTCGACATGGCGCCTGGGGAAACTGAGAGAAGGGCCTGAGCGCTGGCCACGGAGGACACGCCTCGTCCTCAACGCGCCTGCGGATCTGACGCCCACACCCACCGTATTCCCTGGCCAGTGGTCCGCTGTGCTTGCAAATTTTAATTTAACTCTAACTTAAAGTTTAAAGTTTGAATCCCTGAAAGCAAAATGTGGGGTTTTGGTTTTTGTTTGTTTGTTTTTGAGACAGAGTCTCGCTTTGTTGCCCAGGCTAGAGTGAGTGCCGTGGCGTCAGCCTAGCTCACAGCAACCTCAAACTCCTGGGCTCAAGCGATCCTTCTGCCTCAGCCTCCCGAGTAGCTGGGACTACAGGCATGCACCACCATGGCCGGCTAATTTTATATATATATATTAGTTGGCCAATTAATTTCTTTCTATTTTTATAGTAGAGACGGGGTCTCGCTCAGGCTGGTTTTGAACTCCTGACCTTGAGCAATCCACCTGCCTCGGCCTCCCAGAGTGCTAGGATGACAGGCGTGAGCCACCACAGCTGGCCAAAATGTGGGGTTTTAATGGGAATTGTCATGGGTGTCCCTTTCTCTTCTTTCCTTCACATTCACTCTGCCTTAGCTCTCTTCCTCTATTTGGTCTTTTTCTCCTTTCCGTCTTTCCTCGTTTGCTTTTTTCCTTCTCCCTCCATGTATTAGGGATTAGTCTTAAGGAGCAAGCAACACATACGACCCAGAGAGCTCCACCGAGCACAGAGATCCTGCGGCCGGATCAGCATGCTCCTCGTGGCCCAAACGCTATTCGGGCAGCGAGCTCAAGACAGTTTGTGCCATCCCATCTGGAACATCCTAAGCAGCACAACATTCATCTCTAAACCCAGAAACAACAATGTTCCCTGCAGGCAAGATCCATGGGGGAAAATATGCAATGACGCCTCCACTGGAGGAAGGTGAAGGGAAGCTCTCTCTCTGCCTGTCCAAACTGACCCTACAGACCTCATCTCTGCCCATAAAGCTTCCACACTGTCTAGGAGCCTCAGCAGCAGCGAAGAAAGTTTGCAAAGCTGAGAAGCAGAGTGTGCAGCGCCCAGTGAGGCAGAACCCGGGCAAGGAAGCACAAGGTAATTTTACAAGAATTTTGACAGTCAGTGCCGCAAGATGTACGTGGATAGCGCAGCCACGACACAGAAGCAGGAGGCTGTGAAACGCCATGCTCTGAGAACCAGGAAGAATTGTTGAGAGTGAAATCTCTAGCGCCAACAAAAACCAGAACATTAAGAGATGCACAGAGCTCGAGCGGTGGGAGGCAAGGGTCGTGAACGCCAGGCTTCCTGATTTCGTTGTATAGACAGACAGCCCTACAGTAAAGATGGTCACTGTACCCAAAACCCGAAGAGCTTTCTGTAAGAAGTGTGGCAAGCATCAACCTCACCAAGTGACCCGGTATAAGAAGGGCAAGGGTTCCCTGTATGCCCAGGGAAAGAGGCACTATGATCGGAAGCAGAGTGCCTATGGTGGGCAGACAAAGCCAATTTTCCGGAAGAAGGCTAAAGCCACAAAGAAGATTGTGCTAAGGCTGGAATGTGTTGAGCCTAACTGCAGATCCAAGAGGATGCCGGCCATTCAGAGATGCAAGCATTTTGAACTGGGAGGAGATATGAAAAGAAAAGGCCAAGTGATCCAGTTCTAAACTTTGGGACTCTTTTTGTCCTTTAGTTTCGAGGAGAAAATGTTAAAGCTACAGAAAAATTACCTGCAGGGAAATAAATATAATATATTTTTAAAAAAGATATGCAGATGGCCGGGCGAGGTGGCTCACGCTTGTAATCCTAGCACTGTGGGAGGCCGAGGCGGGCGGATTGCTCAAGGTCAGAGGAGTTCAAACCCAGCCTGAGCGAGCCCGTCTCTACTATAAAAATAGAAAGAAATTTAATTGGCCAATTAATTATATATATTATATATATTATATTATATATATATAATAGGCCGGCATGGTGGTCGGTTACCTAAACGTCCCAGCAACTTGGGAGGCTGAGGGCAGGAGGATTGCTTGAGCCCGGAGTTTGAGGTGCTGTGAGCTAGGCTGACGCCACGGCACTGTCACTCGGTGTAGCGTAGGCGGAAGAGCGAGCTCTGTCCTCAAAAAAAAAAAAAAAAAAAAGATATGCAGAGAATGGGAATTCTAATGGTAGCGGGATTTATAATTTTGAAGAACAGCATAGAAATTATCCAAGAATGCGGGACAACAACAAAGGGCAAAGGAGTGGAGATTATGAAAGGGAAGGTTTTTAAGAGAGATGACAGTGCAAGTGATGAAGAAATGGGAATCCCAGCCAACTGATCTTTGACAAAACAGACAACAACGCACACTGGGGAAAAGAATCCACTATCAATAAATGTGCTGGGAAAACCGTGAGGGAGGAGGTAGTTCATTGGTTAGGTAGTGTAAACCAGGATGGGTCGGTGTCATGCTCTACTATCTTTACTTACCAAATGGATTAATGTTTCAAGTGCATGGACAGAGAAATATGTGTAGTATGATGTGAGAGGCATTAGAGAACTGTATGTTGTGTTGGAATAAATGTGTAGTAAGATAGAGTCAATATGGTGACTACCAGGTGCGCTGCTAAGGAG